CTCACAAAGATCTGCCTGCCTCTGCCTCCCAAGTGCTGGGATTAAAGATGTATGCCACCACACCCGGCGAGACACCATTTTAAATAAATATAAAATTTAAGAAAAAATATTGTGGAGCTGGACAGACGGCTCAGCAGTTAAGAGCACTGGCTGCTCTTGTAGAGGACCCAGGTTCAATTCCCAGCACCTACATGGCAGCTAACAACCATTCATAACTCCAGTTCCAGGGGACTACAACACCCTCTTCTGACCTCCGTGGGCATTGCACGACGCGGGTGCACTTGCAAACATGCAGGCAAAACCCTCATATGCATAAAATAAAAAGTAAATAAAGAAAAAAAAAGCCGGATCCACACTCAGGAGGCAGAGGCAGGTGGATCACTGTGAGATTGAGATCAGCCTGGTCTACATTTCAAGTTCCAAGCCAGCTGAGGCTACAGGGAGACCCTGTCTCAAAAAGACCCAAAAAGGAAAAAAATGATTGTGAGAGCTACTGTGACAGCACAGACCTGTAATCCCAGCACTCAGGAGGCCAAGGTTTAAGACCAGTCTCATCTACATAGCGAGTTTTAGGTCAACCAGGGCTACAATAGGGAGACCTTGACTCATAAAATCAATCAAACATTATCCTGGGCGGACACACGAGGTCTGCAGGAGCGCCTGAGAATTTGCCTTAAATTCCCAGTGTAGTTGAACTTGAATCTATAATCTACAGTTTGAAAAAACACTGTATACAGTTAATGTATGGACTTTTGATTAATTAAATTCAGTTTCACTAAAAAATTTACCTTAAACTTAAGTCTCTTGAACTCCTAACTATATATTTGGACCCTAGCTAATAAACCTAATTTGAGAGAGACTCTTTTTTTTTTATGTGTATGAGTGTTTTCCTGCATGTATGTAAGTGTATCACATGAGTGCCTGGTGCCCGTGGAGACCAGAAGAGGTATTGGATCCCTTGGAACTGAAGTTACATGGTTGTGAGCGCCATGTGGGTGCTGGGAACCAAACCTGGGTCCTCTGCGAGAGCAGCAAGTGCTCTTAACTGCTGAACCATCTCTCTAGTCCTTAACGTACTTCTTTTTATTTTTTATTTTTATTTTATATGTATGAGTGTATTGCCCACATGTATGTGAGTGCACCCGTGTTGTGCAATGCCGTGGAGGTCAGAAGAGGGCTTTGGATTCCCCTGTAACTGGAGTTAAGGACGGTTCATAGCCACCATGTGGGTGCTGGGAATCAAACCCAGGTCCTCTGCAAGAGCAGTCAGTGCTCTCAACCACTGAGCCATCTCTCCAGCCCCTTAAATTACTTCTTACACATCAAATTAAAACCATTTTATAAATCAGGCTGGTCAGATGGCTCAACTAATAAAGGAAATTGCTGTCAAATATGTCTCAGTTTGGGTCTTGGGATCCACATGGTGGAATGAAAGAACCAACCCCTGGGGGTTGTCCTCTGACCTCCACCTGCCTGGCACATGTGTGACACCCCCATCCAATAAATAAACGTAATTTTAAAATCTTTTATATAACTGGGCATGGTGGGTCATGGTGGCGAATGCCTTTAGTCCCAGCACTCCGGAGCCAGAGGCAGGTGGATCTCTGGAAGTTCAAGGCCAGCCTGGTCTACATAGTGAGTTCCAGGCCAGCTTGGGCTACAGGGAGACTCTGTCTCAAAAAGACCAAAAATAAATAAATAAAATCTTTTATATTTATTTATTGTGTGTGTCTGTGTATATGATGTGGAGATGGGGGAACATCCATGTGAGGGTCAGAGAACAACTTTACAGAATTGATTCTCTCCTTCCACCTTTACATGGGTTCTGGAAAATGAACTCAGGTCATTGGGCTTACATGACAAGCACATTTCTCACTAAGCTATCTCAGTGGCACAATAAATGTAACTTAAGAATAAAACTTAAAGAAGAAGAAAATCGACTGAGTGTAGTGTCCGGTGCCTACAATCTCAACTCTCAGGAGGCTAGGGTAAGAGGATTGGAGCTCCAGGCCAGCTTGGGCTACATAGCCAGGGTAGCTCAGTTGGTAAAGTGCTTGCCTAGCATGCATGAGACCCTGGCTTCAAACCCCAGCATGGTTAAAAAAAAGAAAAGAAAAAGAAAAACCAAACAGGCATAGTGTGGTACATGCCTGCAATCCCAGCACTCAGGAGATGGACACAGGAGAATTAGAAGTTCAAGGTCATCCTTGGCTACAGATGGAGTTTGAGGCCAGCCTGTACTACATGAGACCCAGTCTCAAAAACAAACATTAACACCAACAGCAGACTCCCAAATATTGGCCCTTTCTTCCCTTCTATCCCTTTTGACTTTCCATTTTATCATTCTCGGAAGGAGGCCGAAAAGGAACCGGCTCTGGGATGGAAGATGGAATGACCCTTCAGGTGGTAGGCCATCAGGTGGTAGGGCGTCTGGTGGGTCTGTCATCTGGAGGAATCCACAGCCACCAGGTTTACCAAGTGCCTTCTGTTCTACCCTCTGCACCTCTGAGGACACAGTGTCTGGGGGGGGGCCCACCAAGCCCCCTCCCTTGGAGCAGCCAAGCTCACCTTCTCCAACCCCTTTCCTCCCAGCCCCACACCCTGGATCCTAAGCAAACACCCTGTCACCTGAATAGACGGTGATAAAGAAGAGCCACAGCGTCCGGGCCATGTTGGAGAGTGCTCCGGTTGGAAAGGGGGACCGCAGCAGTGAGGTCTGAGTAGAGGAGTGACCAGCTACCTATAGTAGCCAGGCCTTTTGGGGACCTTCCTGGGGCAAATGGGATTCACTCATGGGTTGCTAAAGACCGCCACTGCCCAGGACCTTGGGCATCAAATGCATGCCTCCCCAGGAGGAAAGATGTTGTTGCTGGAGAAACATAGGACTCTCTGGGGGCAGCTAGCAGGAGGTCCGTTGTGTGCAAAGGGCAGGATGTCCCCACATGTCTGGTTATAGGAGAGTGGGTGAGTGGGCGGGTGAGACCAGGATGTGGCTCCCTCACCTTCTGAGGTTCAAGAAGACCCAATCATACCTTTACACAGAACAAACCTCCAGACCAGAAGCTAGCCTCCTCCCCTCGCCTTTGCTCAGCCTACCCAGGCGGGGGCCCCACCGTTCCCTTCCAGTCTGCCCTTCCCTGCACTACTCTAGGATTTCTTTTGCCGGGAGGAGGCTTTTTGAGACAGGATCTCCCTGTAGCCCCAGCTGGCCTGGAACTCACTGTATAGACCAGGCTGGCCTTGATCTCACAGAGCTCCACCTGCCTCTGCCTCCCGAGTGCTGGGACTTAAAGGTGTGCACCACCATGCCAGGCCACTTTTTTAAAAAATATTTTATTTTTATTTATTCATTTATTTTTGAGACAGGGTCTACCTATAGCCCCAGCTGTCCTGGAACTCACTATGTAGACCAGGCTGGCCTTGAACTCACAGAGATCCGCCTGCCTCTGCCTCCCAAGTGCTGGGACTACAGGCCTGTGCCACCACGCCCGTCTTATTTATTATTTTTATTTTATGTGTATGAGTGTATTGCCTGCATATATGTGAGTGCACCTGTGTCGTGCAATGCCACGGAGGTCAGAAGAGGGCTTCGGATTCCCCTGGAACTGGAGTTATGGACTGTTCGTAGCCGTCATGTGGGTGCTGGGAATCGAACCCCGGTCCCCTGTAAGAGCAGTCAGTGCTCTTAACCGCTGAGCCATCTCTCCAGCCCCCACTTTTATTATTTTTTACATTTTGTATATGTGTCTGTACTTGGGAATGTGAGTACAGCTGCCCTCAAAGGCCAAAGGTTTGGGGCCCCTGGAGCTGGATTTACAGGCATCTGGGAGCGGTGCCTGATGTAAGTGCTAAGAGCTGAATCTGCGTCCTCTCCAGGAAGTGTCTAAGCTCTTAATGCTCTTAAGCACTGAGCCATCTCTTCGGACCAGGCCATATCTAAACGCAGTGTGGAACTGAGGCACCATGAACGGGCAAGTGCTGCCCCCTGTTGGTCAAACAGCCATTTTGGTTCTTGTCCGCTGGGCCTCAATTCCAGCTTCCCTGTCCTTTCTTTAAAGGCCTTCTCCCATGAACACCCTGTTCTCATCCCAAAGTGTGAGTGTGGAGAAAATTATCTCTTCTCCTTCACCACAGGCCCGTGGTTTGGAAAGGGAGAGGACACTCCATGGGCCGCCTGGCCTGAGGTGAAAACTCAGAATGTACACATCTGTAAAATGGGAATCACATCCATCACTTCCAGACTCCCCTGCACTAGGATGTCCGGTGTACCATGAGTCTCTCCTCCCAGGCCTGGGCTGCTGACCTGGGACATGGCTGAGCCTAAACTCAAGGGTCCTCTGCTCACCCCTGCTTTTTACTACACGAAACTCCAGCCTCTTGTCATGCCTTGGAGTACTGTAGACATTACTTAGGTCTTTTTTCTTTAGTCCATCTAGAATAAATCATGGGATATAGGTTTTGTGTGTGTGTGTGTGTGTGTGTGTGTGTGTGTGTGTATGTGTGCGCGTGCGCGTGTGCGTGTTCAAGGACCCTTTTACTATTTCTAAGATCGTCTGGGGACTTTAACTTGGACGATGGCAACAGCTAAACCTAGCTACTCAGTGGATACAAGGATGGGGTTTTCCAAAAGAAACATTTCTCAGAGCCTTGAGAGGAAAGGCAGCTAGAAAAGTTCTGAAGCAGGCTTGAGAGATGGCTCAGCCGTTAAGAACACTGGCTGTTCTTGCAGAAGACTTGGGTTCGAATCCCAGCACCCACATGGCAGCTAACAACTGTCCGTAATTCCAGTCCCAGGGAAATCCGACAGCCTCTTCTGCCCTCCGTGAGCATTGCATGACATGGGTGCTCTTACCTACATGCAGGCATAACACTCATACACATAAAATAAAAATAATAAAAAATATAAATATATAAAAGAACGCTTACTGCACCAGAGGACCTGGTCCCCAGCACCCACATGGTGACTCACAACCTCCTGTAACTCCAGCTCCAGGGAATCTGACATTCTCTTCTGGCCTCTGTGGACACTTGCACTCATGCACACACATATATAAAAAAGGAAGAAAAGTTCTAAAACAAGTGTGCAGTGGCCTGCGGACTGATCCCCAAAGCAGCCAGCCAGCTGTGGCCCGGCTGGGGGACTTGAGGCTGAGAGGTGGGTGACATCTCCTCTGGGGAAGTCCTTATCAGTGTTTGTCAACTATGAACACTTTCCATGTCTGAAAATAGCTTCTCCCCTCTTCGCAGCATACGACCTCACGTCCTCCCAACTCCCCTTACAGCTGCTGGTGTCCAACAGTTGGGTTGGCCAAAAGCCACACCCAACTCTCCAGCTTCCTCTCCACTCCAACTCTGCCATCTCCTGGTGAATTTATTTTTTGTGATCTCTATTATTTATTTATTGTGTGTGTGTGATCCATGTGTATGTATGTATTCTCTATGTATGCACATGTGTGTGCATGCCTGTGGAAGCCAGAGGTCAATGCTGGGTATCTCCCTTAATCATCGTCCATCTTTTTTACAATCATTTTTATGTTGGGGTGGTTATATGCATGTGAGTGGAGTACTTGAGGAGGGCAGAAGGCGGGGTTGGAACCTCTAGAGCTGGAGTTACAGGAGGTTGTCAGTCACCCAAGAAGAGAGCTAGGAGCCTAACTTGGGTCTTCTGTAAGAATAGCAAGGACACTTAACTGCTGAGCCATCTCTCAGCCTCAAATCTAGACTCTTGTATAGTGCTTTCTTCATCCTGTGTCATGTCGGGGAGTCGTTTGGGCCTCTGCAGGCATCAGTATGTAGCTCCTGTTTATTACTGATACTTTATTATTTACTCTATACATGCTGTTTATCCATTCATCTGATGATGACATGTGTGCACATACACGTGTGTCTACACATGATGTGGTAGGGCATACATGCCTAGCATGCTTGTGAAGGTCAGAGAACAACTTTGTGGAGTCAGTTCTGTCTGTCTTTACATGGGGTCTGGGGATTGAACTCAGGTGGTCAGCCCACAGGACAAACACCTTTACATTCTGAGCCATCAGGACAAACAAACACCTTTACATTCTGAGCTATCAGGACAAACAAACACCTTTACATTCTGAGCTATCTTGCCAGTTTGTTGTTTTGTTTTGTATCTTTTTTAATGTGTTATGGGTGTTTTGAGACTGGATCTCATGTAGCCCAGGCTGGTCTTAAATTTGCTCTAACGTCAAAATGACTCCTGAGCCTCAGGTTTCCACCTCCATCCGCAGTGCGAGGAGCTTTCCTTCACTGGTGTTTCACGTCTTTCCAGCAACTTCGATGCCTCACTTTGTCCCTTCCAACCATCACACCGACTACATGACGTAGCTCTTCCATCTTCCCACTGCGGTCTGCCAGACCGGGCACCGATGCGTGGCCTTTCACACCATCTTCCTATTGCTTTGGGGCCGTTTCTTTTGGGGGCTCCGAGCTTTTAACTGCTAAGCTTCTCTTCAATCCTTAAGACATTTCTAATGTTTTCTTTTGTTTTTTAATTTAAAAACTGTCATTCAACGAATTTGGAACAAATGCTACCTGTGGGCTTACTCAGGCGGTCCTCACACAGCCACAGATCGGTTTTTCTCTTTTCCTGTTTTCTCTTTTGACTTCTTTTTTTTTTTTTTGTTTTGTTTTGTTTTTTTTAACATAAGACAGGCATTATACCAATGTAGTTACAAGGTTTGAGGGCAGCACACCTCCCACAATGACATGAAAACCCAACTGTCACATTTAGGAACCACAGAAAGGAGCCACAGTCGCTGTTTAATTACTGCTTATTCTCTGACGAATACCTGGTCTCTGTCTCCACCTCAAATCTCTTTCTTGTGGTGGAGTTGAATAGCTAACTACCTTCTAGAGGTTGCTCAAGCTGGCCTAGAATTACTAAACTCAAGTGATCCTCCTTAAGGACTAGGACTAAAGCGCATACCACCATGCATGGTTTAGCAAACCATTATTTTGTTTGATTTGGTTTGTGGTACTTGGAATTGAACCCAGGGCCTCACACATGCTCAGCAAGGACTCTACCACTGAGCTACTTCTCATCCCTCTTATTTTTTTTTTTCCTTTGAAGACAGGATCTTGATAAATTGCCCAGCTGCCCTTGAACTCTCTCTCTGTAGCTCAGGGAGGCCTTGAACTTGCAATCCTCCTGCCTCAGCCTTCCCAGTAACTAGGATTACAGGCCTTTAACACCATGCATGGCTTAGCAATGCTTTTAAATATTTTATTTATTATTTTTATTTTATGTGTATGCATGTATTGCCTGCATGTAGGTAAGTGCACCCGTGTGGCGCAATGCCTGAGGAGGACAGAAGAGGCTGTCAGATTCCCTGGAACTGGAGTTATAGACAGTTGTCAGCTTCCATGTGGGTGCTAGGAATTGAACCCCAGTCTTCTGCAACAACAGTCAGTGATCATAACCACTGAGCCATCTCTCTAGCCCCAGAAATGTTTTTAATAAACTTTCTGGAGGCCGGGCACCCAACTTTCTTTCTCCTTACCTCCTTTCCCTCATCACGCTCCTTGTTATCCCACATCTTTTTTAAAAATTATTTTATTTATTTATTAATATTTTATTATGGGTATGCATGTATTGCCTGCATGTAGGTAAGTGCACCCATGTCATGCAATGCCCACAGAGGACAGAAGAGGCCATCAGATCCCCTGGAACTGGAGTTACGGACAGTTGTTAGCTGCCATGTGGGTGCTGGGATTCGAACCCGGGTCTTCTGCAAGAACAACCAGTGTTCTTAACTGCTGAGCCATCTCTCCAGCCCATCTTTTTTTTTTTTTTTTAATGAGATAGTGTCTCACTATGTAGCACTGACTGGCCTGGAATTCACTATGTGGACCAAGCTCACTTCAAATTCAGAGATTCACCTGCTTCTCCCTCCCGAGTGCTGGGATTTAAGGCGTGTGCCACCACACCTGGTTGAAACTTTTAAAATATTTTTTATTTATTTTTTTTTTGTGTATGAATGTTTTGCCTACATGTGTGTAAATGCACCAGTATCCTGCGATGCCTGCAGAGGTCAGAAGACAGTGTCAGATCTCCAGGAACTGGAGTTATGGACCATTGTTAAGCTGCCATGTGAGTGCTGGAATCAAGCCTGGGCCCTCTACAAGAGCAGTCAGTGCTTTTAACTACTGAGCCATCTCTCCAGCCCTCAGGAACATTTTTAAACATTTTGTTGTTGTTTGTCTCATGTTTTGTTTTTTTAAGACAGGGTCTCTCCATAGCCACAGCAGCCCAGGAACTTGCTATGTAGACCAGTGTCCTAGTTTGTTATTCATTGCTGTGACAAAATACTCTGACCATACCAACTTGGGGAGGAAAGGCTTTATTCAGCTTACATATCCTGGGTCACAGTTCATCTGGGAGCCCAAGGTAGGAACTCAGGGCAGGAACCTGGAGGCAGGAGCTGGAGTACAGGCCATGGAGGAACGCTGCTTACTGGCTTGCTCCCCTGGCCCCTGCTCAGCCTGCTTTCTTATGCAACACAGGCCCATCTGCCCAGGGGTGGCACCACCCACAGTGGGCTGGGCCCTCCCACATCACTTATCAAGAAGATGCCCCTCAGACATGGCCACAGGCCAGTCCAATAGAGACAATTCCCCAACTGAGGCTCCCTCAACCCAGGTGTGTCAAGTTGACACTAAAGCTATCCAGCACAATTGACCCCTTGTCAACTTGACACACAAACACATCACTATTAAATCATAACTTTCCAATTTCTGTTCCCAAGATATGATGTTAATATCACAACATAAGACAGTACAACCTTAAAAACCCACAGTCCTTAAAAATCCAAACATTTAAAAGTCCATAGTCTCTTAAAAGTCTCTTAACTGAGGGCTTCTGTAAAATCCAAAACAATCACTGTCTTATTTCAAAGAGAAGAATCGGGCACACCTAAGCAAAACAAAAGTCCAGCAAAGTAGCTTGAGGCTGGACATCTGGGATTCACTCACGATCTTCTGGCCTCCAAAGGGTTTTGGCAACTCCACTGCTCTGACTCTGCCGTCCACAGCACACAGCTTGTCTCACAGACCCAGGCCAGCTCCATTCCACATCTACTGATGTCCTTGGTGGTCATCCCACAGTCCTGGCATCTCCAAAAAGGTGGGGTCTCCACTGAAACTGAGGTTACACCTTCACCAATGGCTTCTTCTTGACTCTCCGGGTGCAAAGCCTCAGATTCTCTCCATGACCCCTTCAGTCCTGGGGTCTTCACTGCAACTGAAGCTGCACTTTCACCTATGGCCTTTCCTGGCCTCTCACAGTGCCAAGCCTCAGCCTCTCCCTGTGACCCCTTCATGCTTTCAATACCAGAACCATGCAGGAGACTCTTACACGTTACCAAGTCCTGCTTCCAGCTTGAAATAGAGGCTCAGGTCCCCTCTGTGTGCTGACCCTGAGGAAATACCTCCCAGAAGACTCCATCACAGTGATGCTGGTCTCTTGTTACTTACAGATGATATTTCAGCCCCAGATAACCAGCATCAATTGTCCCAGTAAAGCAAAGGTTTTGCTTCAGGTTCTGGTCTCTTCTTAATCACAGCTGATTCTTCAGCCCCAGCCAACCAGAACCCACAGATTCTCAATCCAAAATCTCACATGAACAGCCCTGAAAGTCTCTGCTTCCCTTTGAAGTTTCACAAGCCAGGCCTACATAGTCTACAACTCTTTCAGCGTAACTGTTCCAAGCTCCACAGCAACAAACTCTGAGCACGCAATGGCTTTTCCAGCCCAAAGTTCCAAACACTTCCACAGTCCTCCCAAAAACACCAAGGTCAGGTCTGTCACAGCAATATCCTACTCTCTGGTATCAGCTTCTGTCCTAGTTTGTTCATTACTGTGACAAAATACTCTGACCAGTGCCAACTTGGGGAGGAAAGGGTTTATTCAGCTTACATCTCCCAGGTTGCAGTTCATTAGGAAGCCTAAGATAGGCTTACCGGCTTGCTCCCCTGGCCCCTGCTCAGCCTGCTTCCTTATGCAACATAGGCCCACTTGCCTGGGGTGGCACCACCGACAGTGGGCTGGGCCCTCCCACATCACTCATCAAGAAGATGCCCCTCAGACATGGCCACAGGCCAGTCCAACAGAGACAATTCCCCAACTGAGGCTCCCTCAACCAGGTGTGTCAAGTTGACACAAGCTATCCAGCACAACCAGGCTGGAATTAAAGATGTGTGCCACTATGCCTGGCTCCAAAGTTCAATTTTTTAAATATTTTTTAACTTTTTCTTTATTTAATGAGTATGACTTATGTCCGCATGTAAGTGCACTAGTGTCCTGCAATGCCTGAAGAGGCCAGAAGAGGGCATCTGACCCCCCCTGGAACTAAAGTTATGGATGGTCATTAGCTGCCTTGGTCTTCTGCAAGAGAAACCAGTGCTCTTAACCACTGAGCCATCTTTCCTCCGGTCCCCAAAGTTCAATTTTGTTTTTTTCTTTGAATTTTGAGATGCTCCCTGTAGTCCCAGCCAGCCTGGAATTCACTATGTAGACCAGGCTGGCCTTGAAGCACAGAGATCCACCTGCTTCTGCCTCTTAAGTTCTGGGATTAAAGGTGTGCACCACCACACCCAGTTACCCCAGTTACCTAAAGTTCAATTTTTAAATTTAATTAAATTAATTAATTAATTAATTTATTTATTTATTGTCTTTTTGAAACAGGGTCTCCCTGAAGTCCCAGCTGACCTGAACTCACTATGTAGACTGGGACTAAAGGCATGCGCCACCACACCCGGCTTTATTATTTTATGTGTATGAGTGTAAATGGATCCCAGCACTCGGGAGGCAGAGGCAGGCGGATCTCTGTGAGGTCGAGGGCAGCCTGGTCTACATAGTGAGTTCTAGGCCAGCTGGGGCTACAGGGAGACCCTGTCTCAAAAAGACAAAACATAAAATAAAATAAATAAAAATAATAAATACATAAAATATTTAAAAAATATTAAAAATGTTTTTTAAAAATTAATCTTTTATCAGCCAATAAAGCTTCAGTCCAGCCTCACCTGCACCTGACCTTGTGCTGCCCCATGCTCCCGGTCCCCAGACTGCTCTCACCTCTGCACTTGCTATTCTTCTGCCTGAGATATTCTTTTTCTCATTGCAATATTACACTAATCATACAAAGATAGCTCCACCCACCTCCTGATCAGAGCTTCTAAAACTCTTGCAATTTCCTTAGTGGTTAAGGCAGAAAGAGCATCTTTTGTCTATCATAACAAGAATCTTTCAACCACGACTGGGTTTATGTTAATAAGGTGATTTCTGGAAAGTCCCTTGTTGCTATTGCCTGGGAGGTTAGGACTTTCAGCTCTGCCCTCTGTCCTTCAGGCAATAGCTAAAGATGTAATCAGTAATGCCGGCAAGATGATGCCACCTTAAACGTCCAAAAAGGATGGGGTTCAGGGGCTGCCAGGGAGGGGGTCCCTGAGGGCATGGAAGCTCCAGCCTTATCTCAATACCCTGACCTGTGCATCTCTTCCTTCTGGCTGTCCTTGAGTTAAATCCTTTATAACAAACCCACAAACACAACTAAAGCGTAGTGCTTGGATGAGTTCTGGGAACCTATCTGAGGAGGGGCTCAGAGAGGTCTTTTTTTTTAATGTGTTATGAGTATTTTGCCTGCATGTAAGTATACCATATGTGTGCAATGCCCACAGAGGCCAGAAGAAGGTGCTGGATTCCCTGGAACTGGAGTTAGTTTTTAGCTGCCTTGTGGATGCTGGGAACCAAATCCTGGTCTTCTGGAAGAGCAGTCAGTGTGTTTAACCATTGAGCCATCTCTCCAATCCCTAGTGGTTTTGATTTAAGCTGGTTAGCTAGAAGTACAAGAGGCTTGGACTCTGGGATTGGCATTGAAGAGAAATCAGCTTGACAAATGACTGAACAAACTGACCATCTGACCGCCCTGCCTCCCCACTCCAAGAGGGCGATACATCCATCTCAAAGCACATGGCCTCTAGCCTAGACATCTGGTTCCTTACAAGCTTCCTTGCAGATCTGGTTCCTCACGAGCCGCCTTGCAGAAGACACTTGGTTCCCTGTCAGACCTCTTCAGCTCTCCTTCCCAGATCTCAGGAAGATGCAGGACACCACCCAGGAAGGCAGCCCCACCTTCTGGTATTTTCTGGGCCCACCTATAAATCCCAGACCTCCCCCAACCCTGACATATAACCTCCATTCCCGAGGGAAGGTTGCTTGCTCTTTATAGCTAATAAAGCTCATCGAGGTCGGATTTGGTTTCTACTTCTTTATCAGATTCTAACAGGCAAGTAAACTTGGAGCAGTCTCGTGGGACCAAGCCCTTTACTGTGTGGGGTTGGTAGGGTCAGAATTGAATTGCACTGGAAGATGCCTGGTCAGTTTCCACCAAGAACTGGAGAACAGGTTGGTGTAGGAAAAACCATCCCATGAGGGGCTCTGAGCACAAAGAAAAACAACAGGGGCCAGCAAAATGGCTCAGTGGGTAAAAGTGCTTGCCACCAAGCCTGATGATCTGAGTTCAAATCCTGTAACTCACATAGTGGAAGAAGAGAACCGATTCCTGAAAATTGTCCTCTGACCTCCATACCCGGGCTGTGGCATGCATACACACATGCATGCATGCACACGTGCACGCACGCAAAATAAATATGTAAATTAAAGAAAGAAAACCAACATTCTTTTTTCCTTTTTCCCATAGATCCTACATATCTCTGGGAATCAGTTTCTCAGAGAAGCTGACCCCCACCAGGTTATTCAGACCTGAGCTCTACACGCAGCCCTCCAGGCCTCCTCCCCAGTTTTCCTCCTTCTGTCTCTACATACATCTTTATTTCTGTTGTCTGCCTTACCTAATCGCACAAACCACAAGGACAAGACTTTTCATTTTTTTGCCCACCAGGCCTCGAAGCACACCCTATATACAGAAACCAACCGATGCTTCCTGAATGGAGCACAACTCATGGAGTGCTGGGAGGGCAGGACTGCAACTTTCTCTGCAGGGGGAGAGGGCAGCTGTGTTGAAGGGAGGCAAGAAGCCAGTCTACCCCAGCACCAACCCACCGCCCTGGGTCACCCCTTTCTGAGGAAGGAGAAACAGACTGGGAGTGGGGAGGAGAGGACCAAAGACAAAGAGGTCTCAATCCCTGAATCCTGCTCCAGCAGGGTGGGTGGAGGCCTGGACTGGAACTAGAAGAAGCAAGTCAGAATTGTATTCGCAACCTCTGCCTACTCCCTGCACCCACCCACCCCAGTCAACCTTAGGGAGGGAGTTTCTGGAGGCTGCTCAGGCCCTTTGCAGAACCCACAGTTAACCTTTCCAAGCTCTTTCAGTTCCTCCAAAACTTCTCATTAAATTCTCAAAATCCTTTGTAGATTTCACTACAGATTTCAAAGCTGATGAGAGTGGAGGGTAATTCAGCCTCACATCCTCCGCAAACAAACCAGTCCTTCTGGAACATTCCCCTGCATCCAAGAGCTCCCCTGGAGCTGCCCCTGACAGAACAGAGATGTTTCTCTCCCTCCACAGGCCCTAGCCTCCACTTGCCCTACTCTGGGACCCGCCTGCAGACTTCACTTCTCTCTGGAAGTCAGCCCACCCTCCTCAGCTGCCTCCTCACCTGCACCATGAGGCCTGAAGAGTGTCAACTAACTACCCCGACCTCAGGAGCTGGAAGAGGCCATTTATTTAGTGTCTGGTTTTGGTTTCAGTTTGAGACAGGTTCTTACTGTATAGCCCTGGCTGACCTCCAATTTGAGATCCTCCAACCTCAACCTTCCAAATGTTGGGATTCCAGGCATGGGACACCACACTTGGCCCCGAGAGCCTACTTCTCCCTTCCCCACACCACCAGCAGCTCATCATAGTATTTCTTTTTTTTCTTGTTTTTTTGAGATGGTCTCCCTGTAGCCCCTGGATGCCTGAAACTTCCTATGTAGACCAGACTGGCCTCCATCTCAGATATTCACCTGCCTCTGCCTCCCAGGTGCTGGAATTAAAGGTGGGGTCATCACGCCCAGCTCAAACTACTTCTTAAAAATTTAATTTTTTGATTTATTTTTATTTTTAATGATGTGTACGTGTGTCTGTGGGTAGGCATAGGCACCTGAGTACAGGTGCCCAGAAGTGAGAGGTGTCAGATCCTGAAATTTATTTTTATTTGATATGCATGAGTGTGTTTTGCCCCCATGTATGTATGTACCAAATGGAGGCACTGACTATGGAGGCTGGAAGAGGGTGTTGGATGGCCTGGAACTAGAACTTTGGGTGGTTGTGAGCCACCAGATGTGGGTACTGGAAGTTTCACCCACTTGGAAGGATGAAGCAAGACAGTTGCTTGAAGCCAGGAGTTCAAGGCCCCTGGACAACATGATGAGACTATGGCTCAAAAAAAGTAATTTATCAGAATGTCTTTTTCTGGGCTCCCTTTTAAAGCTACTTGGCCTTCTTTCTGGAGTGCTAGTGTCAGCAAAAGCAGATGGGGAAGTGATGCCTGGGAGGTAGTGAAGACGGAATGAGGGGAAAGGGGAAGTGTGGGAAAGAGGCCTCCTGGGAGTGGAAAGGATTGCCGGCAGATAGAGAGGAGAGAGAGGGACAGCCAGCCTGATCTGTCTTCCTACCCACCACCACCACCATCAGCTGAGCTATGAGCCAAAGCAGGGATTTACAGGGTAGGGAAGGAATGTGGTAGGTAGGGAGGGGAAGGTCAACCAGGCAACATGAGCAGGGAGCCTGCACAGGGCTGGCCTGGGCTGGGGAGCCAGGAGGGCACCTGGTGGACCTCAGAGGACAGGACTGTGGTGACCCCTGGGCTGTACGTGGGGGGAGAGAGGAAGAGAGGGGTGAGGGGTGATTAAGCTCTGCACCCCTCAGGAGGAAAAGCTTTCGGACTGCTGAAGGCTCGGCAGGAAGAGAGGCTGGAAGAGATCAACAAGGTAAAAGGGTGAAAGGTGGACTTGAAGGAGCAGAGCCTGGAGGACCGCCGGCTGGGAGGGATGACCCTGGCTCCTATCTCTCCCCACCCCCCAACAGCAATTCTTAGATGATCCCAAATACAGCAGTGATGAGGATCTGCCCTCCAAACTAGAAGTCTTCAAGAGTGAGGGGGACTGTGGGGTGGAGAGGGAGGCTGGGGGAAGGGGCGATTTTCACCAGCGCAGTGTGGGCCCTGGAAAGACAGAGGTAACTTCTGTGGTGGGAAAGGGGAACTGCCTTCCCCCCTGCCCCTCCCACCCGTGGTGCTGTTCCCTGGCCTGCCCCTCCTTGCACCCCTAGTTCCTTTCATCTTCACAGGGCCTCTCAACCCCCTCACCCCACTTCCTCTGTCTGCCCCCTCCCCCCTTCCACCTCGTCTCCCCTCACTAGTTTAGGTCAGGGCCGTCTTCCTCAATCCCAGCACAGGGCCCTATAAACCAGCATTTACTCGCTCTCTGTTCTTTGTCTCACCCAGAGAAGTACATGGAGTTTGATCTGAACGGAAATGGAGATATCGGTGAGAAAAGGGTGATTTGGGGCGTGCGCCGAGAGAGGCAGCTAGAGGTCTCTGCTTGTTGCATGCCCTGTGCATAGCAGAGGGTCCTCAGCTGCTAGCTAGCCTAGGAGGATTGGGTACGGGAACATGGAGGTTCAAGAGGGCTAAGAGATGCTGGGTGTGATGGCACGTGGAGTTTGTTTGAGACTAGCCTAGTTTACAGTTACAGGCCAGCCACGGCTTCATAAAAAGTCCCTGCCTCTTGGCCGGGCGTGGTGGCACACGCCTTTAATCCCAGCACTCTGTGAGTTCGCCAGCCTGGTCTAGATCGTGAGTTCCAGGACAGCTGGGGCTACAGGGAGACCCTGTCTCAAAAAGACCAAAAAAAAAAAAAAACCCCTTTTCAAAAAAAAAAAAAAACCCCTTTTCAAAAAAAAAAAAAAAAAAAAAAAAAAAAAAAAAAAGTCCCTGTCTCAAAACTAAGAAAATGGAGGGGCTGGAGAGATGACTCAGCACTTAAGAGCACTAGCTGCTTTTGCAGAGGACCCAGGTTTGGTTTCCAGCACCTGGTGGCTAGCAACTGTCCATTCCTCCAGTTCCAGGTCTTCGACTCCCTGACCTCCGTGGGCATTGCATGGCATGGGCACAGTTACATACATGCATGCAATACACTCATGCACATTCAAAAAAGGAGAGATGAGGTGGCTCAGTGGTTAGAGCACATTCCTGCAGAAGACCTTGGTTTGAATCCCAGACCCACATGGCAGCTAACAACCATCTGAAACTCCAGTTGCAGGGAATCTGACGCCCTCTTCTGTGCTCCACAGGCACCGAACAACATAGGTGCATGCCATACATACAGGCGTAACACTCATACACATAAAATAAAAATAATTTTGTCAGGCACAGTGGTGCTCACCTTTAATCCCAGCACTCGGGAGGCAGAGGCAGGAGGATCTCTGTGAGTTCAAGGCCAGCCTGGTCTACATAGAGTTCCAGGCCAGCTGGGTCTACAGGGAGACCCTGTCTCAAAATAAATAAATAATTTAAAAAAGAATAATAGGGGCTGGAGAGATGGCTCAGCGGGGTTAAGAACACTGGTTGTTCTTGCAGAAGACCCAGGTTCAAATCCCAGCACCCACATGGCAGCTAACAACTGTCCATAACTCTAGTCCCAGCGGATCCGACAGCCTTTTCTGTCCTCCGCAGGCATTGCACAACATGCACAACTTACCTACACGCAGGCAATACACACATACACAAGAGAACAAGGACGCCCCTCCCCACCCTGATCTTCTGCCTCCAGATACCATGTCCCTGAAGCGAATGCTGGAGAAACTCGGGGTCCCCAAGACCCACCTAGAGATAAAGAAATTAATTAGAGAAGTATCTAGTGGCTCTGAAGAGACCTTCAGCTACTCTGATTTTCTCAGAATGATGCTGGGGAAGAGATCTGCCATCCTGAAAATGTGAGGGTCCAGTTCCAACCTCCCCGGACTTACCTGTCCCTCCATCCCCAGCCATACCCTTGAGCCTAGGCCCAACCTCCCCGGACTTACCTGTCCCTCCATCCCCAGCCATACCCTTGAGCCTAGGCCCAACCTCTACACCTTACTCAGTGCTGCTCTTCCCTGCTTATTGGGGCTCCTGTACCCTAAACCCACCCACAGCTCCAGTCCTCACAGCCCCCAACATCGTTCTCTGCTTTTCTTCCTCCCATGCTCACAACCTCCTGCCCTCCTGGTCTCTCATAGCAGCCTGAGATTGACCCCCCTGAGAGACACATCCCTGATGCCTGTGTCTCTTCCAGGATCCTGATGTATGAGGAAAAAAACAGAGAACAGCAAAAGCCCACTGGCCCCCCAGCCAAGAAGGCTATTTCTGAGTTGCCCTAAGTGGAGGTGGATGTGTACACAGTGGGACTGAAGAGGCTTCTAAGGACCACAGCATGGAAGGAAAAGAAGACATGATCATGAGCCTCAGTCAAAATAAATAATCCTCCCTACTAGATCAAGTCAGCCTGGTTTTTATTTGGGGGATCCCCCCAGGTTTGAGGAGGAAGGAGGCATCTTTGAGGGAAGGGTAGTAAGGATTTGCCACAATAAATAATCCATCCAATTTGGAGTGGCTCTACTACAGGAGATGGCTCTGTGCACTAAGGATTCCAGAGTTCTAAGAAGGCCTTGGCCTCCAGGGATGCAGGTAGGACTTTTTTTTTTAATTTAATATGTATGTTTTGCTTGCATGGATATGAGTACTACATGCATGCAATGCCCGTGGAGGCCAGAAGAGGGCGTCAGAGCCCCTGGAGCTGGAGTTATGTATGAATGGTTGTCAGCTGCCATGTGGGTGCTGGGAACCAAAGCAGGGTTTTCTGCAAGAGTAGCCAGTGCTCTTAACCACTGAGCCATCTCTCCAGCCCTCAACAGGTAGGAGATATATAATACACTGGTCTCAAAACACAATAAACCAAAGAACGTATCTACCCTTTTCCCCTACACTTTTTTAAATTTTGATGTTTCGGTTCTTAGGTATTTTTTGTTGTTGTTGGTTTTTTTTAATTTTTATTTTTTGGTCTTTTTTTTGAGACAGGGTCTCCCTGTAGCTCCAGCTGTCCTGGAACTCACTATGTAGACCAGGCTGGCCTTGAATCTTGAACTCACTGAGATTTGCCTGCCTCTGCCTTCCGAGTGCCAGGATTAAAGGCATGCTCCACCCTGGCATAACAGGTAAGATATTTTTATCTGTACATTTGGTACAGGCTCATGATAATTTTCATAAGGAGTGAAAGTTCCCTTGAGACAACATTCTCCAAACCCAGGTCCTCTGTAAGAACATCAAGTGCTCTTATCCACTGAACCATTTCTGCAGCCCCTATTTGGGGGGAGGGGGAGCAAGGTTTCACTTTGTAATTCAGGCTGGCCCAAAACTCACTATGTGGCCTAGACTTACTTCAGACCTCAGATCATTCCCCCTCAGGCACTCAAGTGCTGGGATTATGGCACGATCAGCTGTCCTGCTTTACCCAGCTGGAAATCATGAGTAGGCAAGAAGCTCAAGCACTGGTTTTGTCTCAATTCCTTGTTTGAGAGCAGCAAGTGGCGCCCTCTAGTGTTACAGCTCTTGTGTTCTAGGAAGTGAGAAATCTCCACCCCTAGTGACCCGCATAGCCAGCCTCCTGACAGGTGAACCTAGCTTCAGTTCTTCAGAGCAGGACCTGAGGCGCATGGCCTAAAGATTTGGCAGCTCCCTGGATCTTCCAGCGACCAGAGCCTGCAGTTTCTCCTAATTCTTTTTTCTTTCTTTCTTTCTTTCTTTCTTTCTTTCTTTCTTTCTTTCTTCCTTTCTTTCTTCTTTCTTTCGTGAAAGGAAGTTTATTTACACTTATGGTTCCAAAGGGGCAAGAGTCCATTTTTCTTTTTTTTTGGTGAAGGTCAGAGTGTATTTTTGTAGCTGTAGGGCTCAGATTATATATTGTAAAATTATATGATTACATTAATAAGCCATTGTTTTGTGGTTAATCTTTTTTTAAGAATTCTGATTTCAGAAACAAAAGTGAAACACAGGCATTTTTCTTTTCTTTTTAAAAATTTGCTTTGATTTATGTGTGTGAGTGCATGCGAGCATGCCTGCACTAGGTGCCTGATACCCTCAGAGGCCAGAAGAGGGTGTTGGAATACCTGGAGTTACAGGTGCTGGGAACTGAATAGGGGTCCTCTGGAAAAGCATCCAGAGCTCTTAACCAGCCAGGTGTAGTGGCACATGCCATTAATCCCAGCACTTGGGAGGCAGAGGCAAGCAGATCTCTGTGAGATAGAGGACAGCCTGGTCTACATAGTGAATTCCAAGCTAGCTGTGGCTACAGGGAGACCCTGTCACAAAAAGACCAGAGAGAGAGGGAGAGAGAGAGCGAGGGAGCTACCTCTCCAGCCCTCTTTGGTTCTTTACGGCCTCTATCCTTCCATCAGTCTCAGCTCTCTCTCCTCTCTATCCTGTTCACAAATGTTCTTGCTCTAGCAGCTCTCTCAAACTGTTCCTCTGCTTCCTCTTCAGCTGTCCGCTGCTGCCTTCATATTACCAGCTCAGCCCACACTAGCGAGAAAAGACCACCAGGGGAAAGTTTTATTTGGGCCTAATGTAATGCCGGGGAGGCAGCACAGGTGTTGCCCAGGCAACACCCAAATGAGCCTAACATTTGGCTTATGTAGCCAGAGAAGGGGTTCACACCAGTCACAGCAAACCAATCACAGAAAAGGGGTTCACACCAATCATGATAAGCCTCTCATGCAAATGCTTCCCATTTGCACAAATCACAGCTTTGTCCCTTTAGCACCAGCCCGAGCAGTCCCTCAGATAGGCCACCAGGAGCAGTGCTCTCCCTCTGGCCTGGGCGACACAGCTGAAGGTCATCTAGAGTTCACCGAGGCTTGTGATCCCAAAAATCCAGTACAAATATTTGAAACAGTCCTGGCTGAGGCTACACCTTCAGGAACTGGAGCAATCGTAAGCAAAGACTCTTTTTTCAACACTGGAGTGTTCAAAACAGTGGGTGTTGGCAAACGGCGTTCTGGCCAGCTGTTAGACTGTCAGTCTTTTGGCTCAAGGCAGCCAGGGCATGGAAGGGAGAGTCAACAGCTGCGGGTCAGGGAGTCAAACCGTCCCATGTTCTCTTTACAGGAAAATGATCAGGGATGTTTATGAGAACTTAAAGAACTTATGGGCTAAGGGTTTAGAGGAAACCCTGTCTCAATTTAAAAAGGAGGTCGAGGAGGAGGAAGAGGAGGCTAAAAACATATCTTTGGAGCGGGAGAGGGCTGCAGGGTGTGGTGGCGCATGCCTTTAATCCCAGCACTGGGGAGGCAGAGGCAGGGGGATCTCTGTGAGTTCAAGGCCAGCCTGGTTTACATAGTTAGTTCCAGGACAGCTGGGGCTACAGGGAGACTCTGTTTCAAAAAGACAAAAAAATAAAAAGAGCTCTTGCAGTATACATGAGTTTGGTTCCCAGCACCCACATGGCCGCTAACAACTGTCCATAATTCCAGTTCCAGGGGATCCAATGCCCTTTTCTGGCCTTGGGGGGCACTGTATGCATGGATGTACCCACATACATGCAGGCAAACACACACATAAAATAAGAATTTAAGTCTGGCGTGGTGGCACACACCTTTAAACCCAGCACTTGGGAGACAGAGGCAGGCGGATCTCTGTGAGGTCAAGGCCAGCCTAGTCTACATAGTGAGTTCCAGGACAGCTGGGGCTACAGGGAGACCCTGCCTCAAAAAGACCCCCCCCCAAAAAAATTTTAAAAACCTTATCGTTAATACTAGTTGTAATTTTAACTGTGCTGAACACCCCAGTTACCCTAAATGGGGTGCTTCAAGATTATAAGTGTGTGCTATGTGCTGCCACACCTGGGTTGCCACACCAAGGCTAAAATTCGTTAACTGTGTTCTGCGAACGTTTCGGTCTTCATTGTCCCCATGGGACAGGCAGTCCCTTTGTTTGCTCACAGCCGCTTGGTGTAACTTTGAACCCACTGCTTCCACCCATCCATCCAGTGTGCCTAAGATGTGCACCCGCTCCTTAAAACGGACCAAATTCTGCATCATATTTCTTCATGTATACATGTGTACATGTATTGTGCAGGAGCATGTGGAGGCCAGAGGACAGACATGACTGTCATTCCTCAGATGATGTCCACCTTGGTTTGTGTGTGAGAGACAGACAGACACACAGGGTCTCTCACTGGTCTTGAACTTGTCAAGTAGGCTAGGCTGATTGGCCAGGGAGCCCTAGGGATCCACCTGTCTCTGCCTCCCCATCACTGGGGTGACAAGTGCATGCCAAGTTCTACATATTTTTTAATCTTGTTTTTATTTTATGTGTATGAGAGTTATGCCTACATGTATGTAAGTGCACCTGTATCATGCAGTGCCCAAGGAGGACAGAAGAGGGCATCAGATCCCCTGGAACTAGGGTTACAGATGGTTGTTAGCTGCCCTGTGGGTACTGGGATTCAAACTCCAGTCTTCTGCAGAAACAGCCAGTGCTCTTTAACTGCTGAGCCATCTCTCCAGCCCCAAATATTTTATCTATTTTTATTATGTGTATGAATGTATTTTTATTTTTTTATGTGTATGAATGTTGCCTGCATGTAAGTGTACCACATGCGTGCAATGCCCCACTGAAGCCAGAAGAGGGTGTCAGATACCCCAGAACTGGTATTACAAACAATTGAGCCACAGTGTGGGTACTAGTAATCGAACCTGGGTCCTCTGGAAGAACAGCAAATGTTCTTAACCACTGAGTCATCTCCCCAGCCCCATATTCTTTCTTAAATATATTTCATTAGAGTTCTTGTAAACCAGGCGTGATGGCCCATGCCTTTAATCCCAGCACTCAGGGGGCAGAGGCAGGCAGATCTCTCTGAGTTCAAGGCCAGCCTGGTCTACATAGCTAGCTCCAGGCCAGCTGAGGCTACAGCAAGACCCAGTCTCTAAAAGCCCAAAACAAAGAGAGTTTCTCTAGAGCACTTTTACCACCCAGCCCCAGGCACAGTCAGGTTAGTCCTCTACCTCTACCATGTCCCATTCATATCTCTGGCACTTTAAAAACATTCTTACTGGGGCTGGAGATATTGCTCAGCAGTTAAGAAAACTGGCTGCTCTTGCAGAGGAGCCAGGTTTGGGTCCCAGCACCCATATGGCAGCTCACAACTGCCTGTAACTTAAGTTCCAGGGGATCTGACACCCTCTTCCTGCCTCTATAAGGGCATCAGGCATACATACATAAGGCACCCACACATGCATAAAATAAAAATAAATCTTTTTGTTTTAGTTTATTGTGTGTTTTGCCTGCATGTATGTTTCTGCACCTGTGCATGCAATGCCTGAGGAGGACAGAAGAGGGCGTCGAATCCTCTGGATCTGGAGTCGTGACCATTGTTTTTTTGTTTGTTTGTTTTTTTGGTCTTTTTGAGACAGGGTCTCCCTGTAGCCCCAGCTGGCCTGGAACTCACTATGTAGACCAGGCTGGCCTTAATGGCCTTGAACTCACAAAGATCTGCCTGCCTCTGCCTCCCGAGTGCTGGGATTAAAGGTGTGTCACCACACCTAACAATAGTCATGACCATTGTTATCCACCATGAGGGTGCTGGGAATCAAACTGGGGTCCTTTCCAAGGGCAGCCACTGCTCTTACCTACTGAGCTGTATCTCCAGTCTCCAAAATAAATAAATCTTAAAACTGTTGTTATTGCTGGGGTTGCAGAAACAGCTCAGTGGGTGAAGAATCATGAAGACCTGAGCTCAGATCTCCTGCCCCTATGAACCAGCTAGACAGACTGCATGTAACCCCAGAGCTGGGGACCCCTGGGGACCCAGGAGGACCCCAGAGCTCACTGACCAGCCAGTCTATCTGAAAAACACAGGCACACACAGAGATATCTAGGTTCACAGAGGGACTATGCCTCAAAAAATTTAGGTGCCAGGTGTGGTGGTGCTTGCCTCTAATCCCAGCAACTCAGGAGGCCGACAGATCTCTGAGATCACAGCCAGCCTGGTCTAGATAGCAAGGTCCAGGCCAGCCAGGGCTACATAATGAGACTCTGTCTCCAACTCGCCCACCCAACAACCAACCACAAAAATATTTTAAAAATAAGGTAGAGGCCAGGCCGGGCCAGGTGGCCCACGCCTTTAATCCTAGCATTTGGGAGGCAGAGGCAGGTGGATCTCTGTGAGTTTGAGGCCAGCTTGGTCTATATAGTGAGTTCCAGGTCAGCTTGGGGCTACAGGGTGACCCTGCCTCAAAAAGACCAAAATAGATGATAGATAGATAGATAGATAGGTTGATAGATAGATGATAGACAGATAGATAGATAGATAGATAGATGGAACTGAGAAAGACATTCCAAATGTCAGCCTCTGACCTGCACACGCGCCCATACAGGGCACAACCTCCCCACCCCCAACACACAAAAGAATTACCAAAAAAATGGTGAATAGGTAGTAGGCCTGCCGAGAGGCAGAGGCCTCTACAGTCTAGTGGTAAGAAACAAAAAGAGGAACTAATACTACATTTCACAAGTTGAACATCAAACAAAGACCCTATTCCTGAAAGTGATAGGGTATAAAATTAAATTTCCATCTTAGCTGTGATCTGAATTTGGAAGTGGGGGGTCATTCCCCGCCTTTGTTCAAATGATTTGCATATACTATGCAAATAAACAGAACCCCTCCAAGAAGGCCTATACGGAGAATGTCGGACACAGACGTCCCGATCCTTCCATTGGCCTGTCTATCCGCTTCATTTGCATGACGCGATTAAACACACGGAAGACCCCGCCTCCCTGACGCCGTTCACCTCTCCCGGATGGACGCGTGACCTGGGATTCTTCCCGTATCTACAGAAAATACCGCCCTCGACTAGATACTCCCTTCCGTCCGCCCCTGGCCCCGTCGTGGAATTCGTAGACAGCACCTCCCGCCTTGCACCGTTTTCCTCTCCGCGTCCAGCCTTCCGTAGACGCAGTGCGCATGCGCCGCCTCTTTCTCCCACCTTCCGTCGTGTAAATTCTGCGCCCCAACGGCCACACGTTTGGCCCCGCCTACGCGTCTCAAGGCAGACGCAGGGGCCGCCTCCCCAGCCAACCGGCGTCCTAGTGTCCGTAAGTCCCTCCCCTTTATGCAAATATCCTCCACATCAGGCCTCGTTTTTTCCTTTTATCAAAGTGCGGGCAGCCCTGAAGTACTGAGGGGCCGACAAGACGGGGCCACGCCCTCTATGCAAATAAGGGGGCGTGTCCAGCCGCGGAGGGCGGCGGGAGGTTGAGGGGGGGGGTGTTCCCGGGGGCGGCGGTTGCCCGGATGGGCCGTTAGTCGGAGCCCAGCCGCGGAGTGAGCGAGGGAGACGGGAGGAGCCGAGCCCGGCGCCATCCGCCGCCATCCGCCCCCGCCCTGTCGCCATCCGCCCCGGGGAGCCTCTAAGCCCGGGTCCCGGACTCCCGCGCACCCGGCCAGGTGAGTCTGGGCCAGCCGGGTGCTGACGCCCTTTCCGGCGCGGGGCGACGGCGGCGGCGGCGGGCCGGGGGAGAAGCTGCCATCAGCCGCCGCCATCTTGTCCTCCTGCCGCCGGCGCGCCCCTCCCCCTCGGCCTGTGCCGGCCGCCTTCCTCGGCCGCGGCTGAGGGCCCAGGGCCGGGCCTCCGCCCAGCAGGTCCTCGGGCTCAGGCGCGACCCGGCTACAGGCCCGCAGCTGCCGCCCGCGCCCTCGGCCCCTCGCCCGACACTGGGCGCCCCCTGTGAGGGTCTGGTCCGCAGCCCTGCAGCGCGGCCGACCTCTGGGTACTGCACTTCGCGCCGTTCCGGGCCCGGCGTTCGGTCTGCTTCGTCTTTACCTTCTGCATTCCCGTATCCACGGCTTTTGCATTTTTATTCGCCCCGTTCCCTCTTTTTTTTTTTGAGTTTGTTCTACAGTCCCCCCCCTCCTTTTCTTTCCAGCGTCTGTTTCAGATTGGTTTCCTTACGTGTCCTCTCTGGCTGTCATAAAGTTTTCTCCCAGTTTTGGCTTTTCATCCTGGCCCTGGATGCTTTCTTTTCCGTTTCTATCCTTTACACAAGTCCCACTCACAGCTAATGAATGCCTGGTCATTATGGACTAAGATGGAGAGTTTGGCCTACCCGGGGAGCAGGGACTGTTAGGGGAAGAAGTGACTGCTGATGAGGATAGAAAATGAAGTTGGTTTTGGCCTTGGCCTTCCGGTGTCTGGCCCATCGTTATAACGAGGGTGTTTTCAGGTAGCTGGTGATGCTTTGTTTTTCTCGGTTTCACATATGGTAAACCAGAGCCTGCTGGTATTTCCTCTGGAAGTAGAATTATTTCCAAGAGCCAAGATGGGCAAGTCTAGGAATAGCTGGAGAATTGCGCACACTGGGGGTTCTGCACAGCCTGGGCATGTGTGGAGCCCCCGTTGTTCTGTGAGGATTATTCTGGCACCAGCTCCCAGTCTGGCAGAGCAGACTCATAAAAATCCTTAAGCTCCAGCATACCTTCCTTCAAACCTCCCCAGATGGGACTTCAGGCTCCAGGGAATGGAACCTGGGGCACAGGGCCCTGGGGCATGATTAGAGAGCCAGTGTCTAATAAGTTGGCAGTCTGTAGTTCTTTCTTGCTGGCTGTTGCTGTACACCTCATTCTGGTTTTCTCTGGGGCTCAGACTTGCTTGTCCAATTCTGTTCTAGGTGTCTGAAATGATTCTGGAGGAGTGAAAGGAGATTATTACATTGGGGGATGACAAGAGGCTGCTGCCCTTTCTAGAGTGGCACAAAAGGCAGAGCTTTGCTATCAGGAAGATACTAGGTTTTTACTTGGTTTTGTCAGGAGATATCTGGAAGAAAGAAGGAACATGGGTGTGGGAGCCAGGTAGATTGTGGTTGCTTATAGAGGCTGTACTGCTTTACACAGAGAGGACCACACATTTGGTCCCTAATGAGACCGAAAGAGAGCTCCTGGGCTTTTGTTACAGTCTGTAAAGAGGGCAGAAACCGAGCCGCCTACTGTCTGGCCCACAGGCACCGGCACGTTTTGGGGGAGGTGCCTGCAGGACACAACGTACTCAATGAGCTTCCAGCGCGATGTCCGATCGCTCGGGGCCGACTGCCAAGGGGAAGGATGGAAAGAAGTATTCCTCGCTCAACCTGTTTGATACGTATAAGGGCAAGTCCTTAGAGATCCAGAAACCCGCTGGTGAGGGTCCTGCAAAGGTGTTGCGAATGTCTGGAGGCTAGGGGCCCAGGCTAGCTCTCTGGAAGACAGCAAGCTACTCTAGAAAGGTAGCAAAAGACTAGAGGAACACTGGAGACTCCCCGGTTTACGTTTGAGGCTGAGGGGTGTTGGGCGCTGGGTAAACACCAGGTACCCTCCCACAAAGACATGCTTTAGGTTCCCTGTGCTTGGACATGTAAGAATTGGAGGCAAAGAAATGTGGATTTGGAGGGGGTTGGAGAGATGGCTCAGAGGTTAAGAGTACTGACTGCTCTTGCAGAGAACCCGGGTTTGATACCCAGCACCCTCATGGCGGCTGTGAACCGTCCTTAGCTGCGGTTCCAGGGGAATCCGAAGCCCTCTTCTGCCTTCTGTGGCGTTGCACGGGCCATTGAGGTGTATGTGTATTGCCTCACATACATTGAGGCAATACATTCATACACATAAAAATAAAATAAATTATGGGTTGGCAATTTAGCTCAGTGGTAGAGTGCTTGCCTGGCAAGTGCAAGGCCTTGGGTTCGGTCCTCAGCTCCCCAAAAAATAAATAAAAAGATAAATTTTAAAAAAAGAAATGTGGATTTGGAGAAATCTGGGGCCAGCATGCTCCCCACAGGCTTGAGGTCAAGAATCACACAGAAACCATGGCTGTGCTGTGTCTGACCTTTTCCAGGAGAGTGTGTTTAGAGATTACTGAGGGAAGGAGTGGCTTCTGAGAAATCTAATAGGAGCGCTAAGGGTTGTCTGGATGGGTTTCATGGTTGGAGACTGTTAGGTCACCCCTTGAGGCATTGTTGACCCTCTCTCCTCCACCTTTTCTTCAGTTGCCCCTCGCCATGGCCTGCAGAGTCTCGGGAAAGTTGCCATTGCCCGGCGTATGCCGCCCCCAGCCAACCTTCCAAGCCTGAAAGCCGAGAACAAAGGCAACGACCCCAATGTCTCACTAGTGCCGAGAGACGGAACAGGATGGGCGAGCAAACAGGAGCAGTCCGACCCCAAGAGGTAGATGGGCTTGGGAGACCTAGAGCCAGAGAGGCACCTTTTGTACCTAGACTGAGAAAGGTACTTTGAAGCTTTGCCAGGCAGAGAGAGAAGGAAGACACAGACAAGGCCCTCACGGGGGCCACGTTACTTTGTCCTTAGTGTTTTTGGATGGTAGTGATGGGCTTAGGGTCCTCAGTCCCAGCTTTGGATCAGTTGGAGAACTAAGGAAGGCATATCAGGCTCGGAATAACTCATTCTACCATCCCTCAGTTCCGATGCCTCAACTGCTCAGCCGCTGGAATCGCAGCCACTGCCGGCTTCACAGACGCCTGCCTCCAACCAGCCGAAACGACCCCCAACAGCCCCCGAGGTAGCTGGAGAGCTGGAGGGGTTGGAAGGAGAATGGATGCCATGTAGCTCCTCCATCCTCATCACTGACTGTATCTGCTTCTCTAGAATACTCCTTCCGTTCCAAGCGGGGTAAAGTCCTGGGCACAAGCCAGCGTCACCCATGGAGCACATGGAGATGGTGAGTGCAGGGTGCTGAGGAGCTGTGTCTGGGCACCGGGTGGGGGGTGGGGCCCTAAACACCTTCAGTAAAGTGCCCTTGGTCTTTTGTCTGATTCTCATTCCTCCACATTAAGAACCTTCCACTTTCGTGGTTGCACCCTCATCTCAACAGGTGGAAGGGCATCAAGCCTACTGTCGCGATTCTCTCGAGAGGAATTTCCGACCCTGCAGGCGGCTGGCGACCAGGACAAGGCTGCCAAGGAAAGGGAGTCTGCCGAACAGTCGTCTGGGCCCGGACCAAGCCTCCGCCCCCAAAGTGAGTGGCTGCCTTGTATGAGTAAGTGGTTGACTTAAGCCAGGACAGTGCCTGTTCATCTCAAAGCCCAGTGCTGATGTAGTCATACCTTCTACCAGTCATTTTTGCCGCATCCACTTGCTCCCTCCCATCTGTAACTGATCTCTTCCCCCACTGCGTTTTCTAAAACAGATTCTACAACTTGGAGGGACGGAGGTGGGCGTGGCCCTGATGAGCTGGAGGGCCCGGACTCCAAACTTCATCACGGTCATGACCCCCGGGGTGGGCTGCAGCCTTCAGGCCCACCCCAGTTCCCTCCCTACCGCGGAATGATGCCGCCCTTTGTGAGTTTGGCTATCTTATCTTGGAGTGGTTGCACTGAAAGCCAGAGTGTTAAGAATCAGGACTTAGTCTTTGGAGGACACAAAAAGTTGGCACCAGTGAGACAGAGGGACGGGAGGGTGGTAGGTTTAAAGGGCTGGCGGCTCTTTAGCCCTCTGAACAGCTACTCTTGGACCCTTTTGCAGATGTATCCCCCATATCTCCCATTCCCTCCACCCTATGGACCCCAGGGGCCTTACCGATACCCGACTTCTGACGGGCCCGGGTAAGCAATCCAGTTCTGGGTTTGTGGTTTGGAGTAGGATAAGCCTATTTAGGAAGAGATGGATTTTATATCCAGGAAGCTGTCTTGTATGTGGTTCTATTACATGGGGTCTTTAATCTTGTTTCCCATTTTCCTTTCCACACACAGCCGTTTCCCCCGTGTGGCGGGCCCCCGGGGCTCAGGGCCACCAATGCGCCTTGTGGAGCCTGTAGGTCGACCTTCTATTCTTAAAGAGGATAATCTCAAAGAGTTTGACCAGTTGGACCAGGAGAATGATGATGGTTGGGCAGGTGAGTCTATGAAAGATCAAGCATTTGAATCGTAAAAGCAAAATCTGATGAGTCAGGTGAGAGAACAGCAGATGGATGTGAAAGGGGAGCTTGATGGGTGAAGGCCAAACCCTGGCAGACTACCAAGAGGGATGAAGAGCAGTGGACTGGGCAGGACGTGGAGAGTTGAGGTTCCGCATTGGTGGGGCATCATGTGAAGTTCCAGGCCCCTGTGTTCTCGGGAGGCATCTGAGACTGGAGAGCAGGCTGCTGGTTACCTTTTCTCTTTCTCTCTTCAGGTGCTCACGAGGAGGTCGACTACACTGAAAAGCTCAAGTTCAGCGATGAGGAAGATGGGCGAGACTCTGATGAGGAGGGAGCTGAGGGCCGGTGAGTTAGGGCCGCCCAGGCAGAGACTGCTTTTCTCATGGTGCAGTCTGCTCTTAGAGCAGCTGGTTGCAGCTGAATTTTAAGTCCACTGTTCTGTCCACAGCAAGGACTCCCAGTCGGCTGCTGGTGAGGAACGGCCCCCTGAAGCAGATGGCAAAAAGGGCGCCTCCCCTGGCAGCGAACCGCCCCCTCCCAAGACGGCCTGGGCAGAGACCTCTCGGCCTCCAGAGACAGAGCCGGGGCCTCCTGCCCCAAAGCCTCCCCCACCCCCACCTCACAGGGGCCCCGCTGGGAACTGGGGCCCCCCTGGGGATTACCCAGTGAGTGTCTACAGTGAGGGGTAGAGAGGGTCAGTTGTGGGAGGTGTCAGCTGAGTGACGCAGTGCTGACGGTGGGGCTACAGGGGGACTCTGGGGGCGAGTTGGGATTCTGCTGGGAAGGAAAGCCTGCATGTTTAGGTCTCCAGAGGAAAGAAGGAACAGAGATGAGGATGAGTTTGTCTCCAGCCAGAGAGCTGTCAACCCAAGGCCTGGCTCTCGCACCCCGTAGCTGTGGGCGGTTGGTTGGTTCGTGAAGGAGCTGGCAGAGGTATAATGCCTAACGTGCCTGGTCTGCTGGGTCTGCCCACTGACAGGATCGTGGGGGTCCTCCCTGCAAACCCCCAGCACCCGAAGACGAGGATGAGGCATGGCGGCAGCGACGGAAGCAGTCTTCATCCGAGATCTCCCTGGCGGTGGAACGGGCACGGCGACGACGGGAAGAGGAGGAGCGTCGCATGCAGGAGGAGCGCCGGGCGGCCTGCGCTGAGAAGCTCAAGCGGCTTGATGAAAAGTTTGGGGCTCCTGATAAGCGGCTCAAAGCAGAGCCTGTGGCCCCACCTGCTGCCCCTCCTGCCCCAGCTCTACCACCTGTAGTCCCCAAAGAACTCCCTGCACCTCCAGCTCCACCGCCAGCGCCAGCCCCTCCACCAGAGAAAGAAGCTGAAGAGCCAGCACCGGCCCCTCCTGCCCAGTCCACCCCCAGTCCAGGTGTGGCTCCAGCTCCCACTCTGGTGAGTGGTGGTGGCACTACCAGTAGCACCAGCAGTGGCAGCTTCGAAGCCAGCCCAGGTATGGAGAAAGGAGCAGGCTCTGCTAGGTGTTGGCTCTGCTTGCTGAGAGGCGCAGGGAGGCGTCATCGAGAGAGGGATAGCGTGGGTTTACTGAACTATCAGTGGTAGGGAAAGAAGTTCTATTATCCATACAGACATGGGAAGAAGGTCTGAAAGCACTTCCTATAGACTCTAGAATGGAACAGAACTCCTAAGTGTTTGAAGGGTTTCATGGGAATACCAGCACCATTGGCTTGAAGCGTTTATTGGTCTTAAGCAGGAAGGACTTTAATGCAATTGGTATTTGGTTGAACAGTTCAGTGGGGGTTGGAGTTTCTGGGGTGCTCTTTGACTGTCTTTGTGGACTCTTCAATGCAGTGGAACCCCAACTGCCTTCAAAAGAGGGTCCTGAACCACCAGAAGAGGTTCTTCCACCCACCACACCCCCAGCCCCAAGGGTGGAACCCAAGAGTGATGGAGTTGCTCCTACTCGGCAGCCCCCCAGCCAGAGCTTGGGCTATCCCAAATATCAAAAGTCATTGCCACCTCGTTTCCAGCGGCAGCAGCAGGTGAGGTCACCTTAAGTCCCTCTTGGGCTGTTCTCTCTCTCCGTGACTTACCCTTTCCATGAGTTATCTTCTAGCCTCATCTGCCTGCGCTCACCTGTCTGCTGTGTCACCACGGTTCCCATTTGCTCCAGATCTGTCGCATTACTGCCTTAAACTCCTCTGTTGGTAGCTTTGTGTTGGGGGCTGTGGTGACCTCATCCCATCTTGTGTCCAGGAGCAGCTCCTGAAGCAGCAGCAGCAGCAGTGGCAGCAGCAGCAGCAGCAAGGCTCTGCCCCTCCCACCCCAGTGCCCCCATCACCACCACAGCCTGTGCCACTGGGGGCTGTCCCTGCCCCACAGGCACCACCCCCACCCCCTAAAGCCCTGTACCCAGGTGCTCTGGGCCGGCCCCCACCAATGCCTCCAATGAACTTTGATCCCCGCTGGATGATGATCCCTCCTTATGTGGACCCTCGGCTCCTCCAGGGCCGGCCCCCTCTGGACTTCTACCCTCCTGGTGTGCATCCCTCTGGTAAGGATTCATGGAAGGGTGGAGACCTTGGTCCCAGAAGGAGGCTGCTGTCTCAGTGTGACACAGTGGTGAATTGCAGGGAGCATGATGTGTGCTTAACACCTCTGGGAGTTTTGTGAGAATGGGCTTGGGGAAGAAGTGAACAGCGGTCCTTCTTGAGCAGGGTTTGCTTATGGGCATTGATTACTTGAGAGGAAAGCTGAGGGGCTCACTGTTCCACAGGAATACCAAAGCCCAGGCTTACTGAGAACAAGATGTGGAGCGCCTACGACATAATTATTTCTTTAATTTTCTGTTTGTTTGTTTGTTTAGGCCTCGTTCCCCGGGAACGCTCAGACAGTGGGGGCTCAAGCTCAGAGCCATTTGAACGCCACGCGCCCCCTCTGTTACGGGAACGGGGCACCCCACCAGTGGACCCAAAGTTGGCCTGGGTGGGAGATGTCTTTACCACCACACCCACTGACCCTCGCCCTCTAACCTCACCCCTGCGCCAGGCAGTGGATGAGGAAGACAAGAATAGGAGGTGAGTCTTGATCAGAGGGGAGGTGGGGCGGGTACAGGCCTGAGAGGAGAGTGCTGTGGGTTGGTGCTCTGGAGCCCAGAGGGTGAGCAGGAAAGGAGTGTGTGAGTGGAATTCAGAGCTCCCTTTCCTCATCCTGATGTCCTCTCTGTTCTGTCTCTTCAGGAGCGAGACTCCTCCAGTACCTCCCCCACCACCCTATCTGGCCAGTTACCCAGGTTTTCCCGAGAATGGAGCCCCTGGGCCCCCAATCTCTCGCTTTCATCTGGAGGAGCCAGCCCCCTCAGGGCCCCGTCCACTTCCCTGGCCCCCAGGAAATGATGAGGCTACCAAGATACAAGCTCCAGCACCCAAGAAGGAGCCCCCCAAGGAGGAAACACCACAGCTGCCAGGGCCAGAAGCAGGCAGAAAACCTGTCCGTGGAGTGGGAGGCGGAGCCCAAGGCTCTCCAGCACCACGCAGAGAAAGCCGCACAGAGACTCGCTGGGGTCCTCGCCCGGGCAGCAGTCGACGTGGAATCCCTGCAGAGGATCCAGGAGCCCCTCCGCGCAGGGCTGGGCCTATAAAGAAACCACCGCCGCCGGTCAAAGTGGAAGAGCTGCCCCCTAAGCCCCTGGAACCAGGGGATGAGACTCCCAAGGTCCCAAAGCCAGACCCACTCAAGACAGCCAAGGGGAAGGTGGGCCCCAAGGAGACCCCACCCAGTGGGAACCTTTCTCCTGCACCTAGGCTTCGGAGGGACTATTCCTATGAAAGAGTGGGTCCTGCCTCTTGCAGGGGTCGGGGCCGAGGCGAGTATTTTGCCAGAGGAAGGGGTTTTCGGGGGACCTATGGGGGCCGGGGTCGAGGAGCCCGGAGCCGAGAGTTCCGCAGTTACCGGGAGTTTCGTGGAGATGATGGGCGTGGAACGGGGGCAGGGGGCGCAAATCACCCCCCTGTTCCCCGAGGTCGTACTGCCAGTGAAACACGAAGTGAGGGGTCAGAGTATGAAGAAATCCCCAAGAGACGCCGGCAACGGGGCTCGGAAACGGGCAGTGAGACCCATGAGAGCGACCTGGCGCCCTCTGACAAGGAAGCTCCCCCACCCAAGGAGGGAGTGCTCACCCAGGTTCCTCTTGCACCCCTGCCACCAGGAGCCCCCCCGGCCCCGGCCCGCTTTGCTGCTGCCCGGGGTGGGCGAGTCTTCACGCCAAGAGGAGTACCGTCGCGCCGTGGCCGAGGGGGCGGGAGGCCCCCTCCTGTCTGCCCAGGCTGGAGCCCTCCCTCCAAGTCCCTGGTTCCAAAGAAAATTCCAGCAGGCCCTTTGCCCCCAAGTAAGGAGCCTTTGAAAGAGAAGCTGATTCCAGGGCCTCTGTCTCCCATGTCCCGAGGTGGCAACATGCTCATAGGCATGGAGGATGGGGAGCGACCCCGACGGAGGCGGCACGGCAGGGCTCAGCAGCAGGACAAACCGCCTCGCTTCCGGAGGCTGAAACAAGAACGCGAGAATGCTGCCAGAGGAGCCGAGGGCAAGTCCCCTTCCCTCGCCCTCCCACCCGCCACCCCTGCTCCAGAGGAGACCCTGGCAACAGCTGCAGTCCCCCCACCACCTCGTCGGGCAGCCGCCAAGTCTCCTGACCTCTCAAACCAGAACTCGGACCAAGCCAATGAGGAATGGGAGACTGCGTCAGAGAGCAGCGACTTCGCCAGTGAGCGCCGGGGTGACAAGGACTCTCCCCCAGCAGCACTGATGGCCCCCAAAGCCGTGGGGACTCCTGGGGGCAGTGCAGGTGGGTCTGGATCGGGCACGTCAACCATGTCCCGCGGAGATCTGAGCCAGAGAGCCAAGGATTTGAGCAAGCGGAGCTTCTCGAGTCAGCGGCCAGGCATGGACCGACAAAACCGGCGCCCGGGCCCTGGGGCCAAGACTGGCAGCAGTGGTGGCGGCAGCGGAGGTGGTGGCGGGGGCCCTGGGGGAAGGACTGGCCCCGGGCGAGGGGACAAGAGGAGCTGGCCATCTCCCAAGAATCGAAGGTGGGTAGGGGTGGACAGTTGTCTGGGGGCAGGCCGGCTGGGAGGGCGGGTCCTAGGGAATTGCAGACCCAGGGCACATGGGCATGTCAGGAAGGCACAGGAGTCCTCCGGCTTGCTAAGGGCAGTCGGCAGAGTGGTAGAGTCCTAATCACCCTGCTTGTTTCCTGTTGTGTTTGACACTGCACACTTAACGCAAGTAGAAATCATTAAAAGGGGTCAAAACCATCATAATTATATGAGGGAAGAGGACAGGTGGGGGTGGGGAAGAAGTTGGAAAACAGATGCTTGACTTGTAGGGAAAGAGTAACAGTTTAGTGAGTCTGGAGCTGATGCTCTGCTTTCTTCAGCCGTCCTCCCGAGGAGCGTCCCCCGGGACTTCCCCTGCCTCCCCCGCCCCCCAGCAGTTCTGCTGTCTTCCGCCTGGACCAAGTTATCCACAGCAACCCTGCTGGCATCCAACAGGCTCTGGCCCAGCTTAGCAGTCGCCAAGGAAATGTAACTGCTCCAGGGGGGCACCCAAGGCCTAAGCCTGGGCCTCCCCAAGCCCCTCAGGGCTCCTCCTCTCGGCCCCCAACCCGATATGACCCCCAGAGGGCCAGCAACAGCATCGGTTCTGGTAAGCTGGAGGGGACGTGGGTCTGGCCTGGGGTACTGCTCTTGGGTTCCCCAGTGAGCGAGTTGGAAGGACTGGGAGGTGGAATTAGGGAGAAAAGCTAGGGTCAGTGATAAGAGTGAGGTAAATGCTGACAGTTCTCCCCCTTTTCCCCAGACCCCCACTTCGAGGAGCCAGGGCCGATGGTGAGGGGGGTGGGCGGGACTCCCCAGGACTCTGCCGGGGTTAATCCCTTCCCCCCGAAACGGCGGGAGCGGCCTCCCCGAAAACCGGAGCTGCTGCAGGAGGTGAGGGATGGGACTGGAGACTGGGCTTCGTGGCACTCCCACTCTTGAAGTTTCTTGCTTTCTGTACCCTGCTGTTCTGTCGTTAGGTTCTCGTCCCAGTTTCTCTTTGGTACCTGTCTCCTATGTCTGTCTGCCTGCTTCTGCCCATCCTCTCTACCCCAGTTCCTACCTAATGTGTTTCCCTTCTGGGTTTTCTCACCTCTAGGAATCCCTGCCAGCTTCTCATAGCTCTGGATTCTTAGGCTCTAAGCCTGAAGTGCCAGGCCCTCAAGGAGAATCCAGAGATGCAGGCCCAGAGGCCCTGACCCCCCACATCTGGAATCGTTTACATACTGGTGAGCAGAACTGGGTGGAGGGAGATGGCAGAGGGGCAGGGTAAGGTGAGCTTCCGAGCTCTCCCCTTGTGTCTACCTCACGGTTGGTGCACTCCTCTAGCCACAAGCCGAAAGAGTTACCGGCCTGGCTCCATGGAGCCCTGGATGGAGCCCCTGAGTCCCTTCGAGGATGTGGCAGGCACAGAAGTGAGTGGAGATAGGGAAGGGAACAGTGCATGGGGCTTTGCTTGGGTGTTGGTCGCATTTCTTCACCTGTCCTGCATAGAGCCTGGGGCTGTTCTCACAGTGTTGTTTCCTTCCCCATCTGTCTGTCTGTCTGTGTGCGTCAGTCAGGTATGATGCTGTCTGCTCCGACTTAACTAGCTCCTTTTCCACTCCTCTCAGATGAGTCAGTCTGACAGTGGGGTGGACCTGAGTGGGGATTCTCAGGTGTCATCAGGTCCCTGCAGCCAGCGAAGTTCCCCTGATGGAGGACTCAAGGGGGCAGCAGAGGGACCCCCCAAGCGGCCTGGAGGCCCCTCACCCCTGAATGCTGTTCCTGGTGAGGGTCCACCTGTCTCTGAACCGTCTGAACCTCCTAGGAGACGGCCACCTGCCCCCCATGATGGGGACAGAAAGGTAAAGATGAGAAAAAGGGTAAGGCGAGTACAGGTGGGACTCCTACCTGGTCTGTCTTCCCTCCCTCCTACCTGGTCTGTCTTTCCTCTTGTCTGCCTCTCCTTCTGTCTGTGCACGCTGGGATTTCCTGCTTCTCTGACCTTCTCCCAATTCCTCTTCATTGTTTCCCAATCTAGGATCTGCCCAGGGAGCAGCCTCTGCCCCCTGGCCCCATAGGCACAGAACGATTACAGCGTACAGAACGAGGCCCAGAACCAGCCCCCCTGCGGCCATCCCATCGACCTGGCCCCTCGGTTGAGTTTGGCACTAGCAGCAAGGTCTGAATGGGCTGGACCGAGATACCTTGAATTGAGTAGAGAGCATAGTAAGTGGGGATGTAGGTCTGAATTGTGGGACGATCTCTCCTACCTCACTGTTACAGGACACAGACTTGCGCCTAGTGATAGGAGACAGTTTAAAGGGAGAGGACCTAACAGCATCTGTCACAGAGGTAAGTAGAGTGCGTTTGGGAAGGCCTGAACTGGTGAAGATGGATAGGAGTGACCCAACATCACTTCTCTTGCCCAGGCCATCCCCATATCCCGGGACTGGGAGCTGCTCCCCGGCTCTTCTGCCTCAGCTGAGCCACAATCCAAGAGCCTGGGTTCTGGACATTGTGGCCCAGAGCCCAGCCCCTCAGGCCATCGCCTATACCCTGAGGTCTTCTATGGCGGCCCTGGGCCTCCCAGTTCCCAGGTAGGCCCCATTTTTACTCACACGCACCCTTTCTGCCTGCTGTTTTTTTTTTAAATAAAACTGAAGTTGGGTCTTTGTTTTGTTTGTTTGTTTGTTTCTTTTAGACAGGTCTCATATAGCCCCACCTGGCCTGAAACTTCCCTATATAGACCTGGCTGGCCCTGAACTCAGTGGTCCACCAGTCTCTGTCTCCCAAGAGCTTAGGATCAAAGGTGTGGGCCACCATGCCTGGCCAGATAATTTTTTTCTTTTTTCTTGTGGGCACATGCCTGTGCCACCAATGAACATGAGTCAGTCTCTCCTTCCACTTCTATGTGGGTTCCAGAAATTGAACTCAGATTGCTGGGTTTGAGTACCTTTATCAGGAAGCATGAGGGGGAATTGGCTGTGCTAACTGGCTACCCACCCTCCAAGCCGAGTTAACCCCAAAGCCTTGGACATAGTGGACAAACACTGCCACTGAGCTATACCCTGTCTCTTCTGTGTTATGTCATTTTGTGGGGTTTTCTTGTTCTTGTATTTGTTTTTAGGCAGGGTCTCTCTGGCCTGGAATTCACTGTGTAGACCAGGCTGGCTTTGATCGCAATAGGGATCCACCTGCCTTTGCCTCCCATAATGCTGGGATATAATGTATGTGTTACTATGCCTAGATCTTGGGCTTTGTTTTGAGACAGGGTCTCAAAGTTGACCAAACTAGCCTTGAGCGTACTCTGTTGTGAGTGTGGTGGTCCATCTTGGCGTTAGCCTTCTAGGAGATTAGGTTACCACCAGACCTGGCTGCTTTTTCCCTTTACCCTTCCAGGGCCCTGGCCTCTGTAGGATGGTGCTGGCTACACTCAGGGTGGGTTCTTCTCCCTAGTTAATCCTCTGGAAGCATCCTTAAACACTCAGGCGTGTGCTTTACTAATCTCCTAGGTGTTTCTCAATCCATCTGTGAACTACAGTTACCCATTACACTGGTAGAGATCAAACTTGGGGCTCAGCTGGTAGGCATGCCCTCTCCCACTGTGCCCAGATGGGCTTTCTTCACCAGAGTCTGGAGCTGCTTCAGCCTTGCTCTTCTCCAGCAGGTCTCTGGGGGTGCCACCGACTCTCAGCTGCATCCCAACAGTGGAGGCTTCCGCACTGGGACACCCTCGCTGCACCCATACAGGTAAAACTAGATGCCCACGAAGCTCAGAAGGAAATGGGAAGTAGATTCCATAGTGCCTCAAAGTCCTAGTGGGTTTAGGCATTGCTCAAACTAAAGGAGTAACACGTCTTCTCCCCAACTTCGCTCAGGTCACAACCCCTGTACCTGCCCCCAGGCCCAGCCCCTCCCTCAGCACTCCTCTCTGGGGTAGCTCTCAAGGGCCAGTTTCTGGATTTCTCCGCATTGCAAGCCACGGAGCTGGGGAAGTTGCCTGCTGGGGGCGTTCTCTACCCTCCACCATCCTTCCTCTACTCTCCAGCTTTCTGCCCCAGTCCTTTGCCCGACCCACCCTTGCTTCAGGTATGAGGTGGGACAGCTGCTGGGGGGAGTGGAGAGGACACTTGGCTGGGGGAGGCTTGACTTAATTTTTTAAATCAGGGTCTCAGACTGTAGCTCAGGGGAGCCTGGAATTTACTGTGTAGTCCAGAGTACAAGTTATGAGCCACCACACCCTGTGGGGAGTTGACTTTTTCTTCCCATTTCCCAACAGGTACGCCAGGATCTGCCATCTCCTTCAGATTTTTACTCTGCTCCTCTGCAGCCTGGTGGCCAAAATGGCTTCCTTCCCTCGGGAGCCCCTGCCCAGCAGGTACCTTCGGTCTTCCACTTTGCCTTCATTTTCTCTCTGGTTTTGATTTTTCCACATGCCCCTCCCAGTGTGCTCACTGAGACGTCTCGTCACAGATGCTTCTACCTGTGGTAGACTCACAGCTGCCCGTGGTGAACTTCGGCTCCCTGCCACCAGCACCGCCTCCTGCTCCACCTCCTCTTTCTCTGTTACCTCTGGGTCCTGCTCTGCAGCCCCCCAGCCTGGCTGTGCGGCCCCCACCTGCTCCTGCTGCTCGGGTGTTGCCATCACCTGCCAGGCCCTTCCCACCTAGCTTGGGGCGAGCAGAGGTAAGGCGAGGTACTGAACTGAAGCCGCTAGGGTTAGGGATTCTGTATGTCAAAGTGAATAGGAGGAGTGAGACCAAGGCTTGAATCCTGAGTTAAGGCCAACCTGGGCTATGCAGGGAGACCCTGTATTTGGCAAGAAGACGGGAAAAAAGGATGACCTGTGTTCAAACAGGAAGGTGATGCCGTGTTTTGTTTTGGTTTTTCCTTTAGCTGCACCCAGTGGAACTAAAGCCGTTCCAGGATTACCGGAAACTGAGCAGCAACCTTGGGGGTCCTGGGTCATCACGTACTCCCCCAGTGGGAAGGTAAACAGGAATGGGGGTATAGTACAGACTCCCCATCCCAAGAGTTTTCTGAGGCCAGGTCAGGTTCTGGGCCACCACCTTACACCACCACCGTTCTTAGGTCCTTCTCTGGTCTCAACTCCCGTCTCAAGGCCCCACCTTCCACGTACAGCAGAGTATTCCGCACCCAGCGCATCGACCTCTACCAGCAGGTGAAAGCAAATCCCCTATGGCCCCCAGGCTAAGTTCAAGTTGCCACCTGAGCTCCTGATGGACCCTCTAGGACTTCTTCAACATGTACTATTATTCCTTAGGCCTCCCCACCAGATGCCCTGCACTGGATGCCGAAGCCTTGGGAGCGGACAGGGCCACCTCCTCGAGAAGGGCCTTCCCGAAGGGCAGAGGAACCTGGGTCCCGAGGGGACAAGGAACCTGGATTGCCCCCACCCCACTGAGGGAGTTCCCCCTTGACCCTCACCCCCCAGGGCTTGTATATAGATTATAAATATATAAGGGGAAAGGGGTGGCTGGGGAGGGGCTGTGGGACTGGAGTCTCACTTCCTTCCCCTCTGCTCTTCCCCTGGTCCCCTATCCCTGGGGCTGTTTGTTAAAAAAGGATAATAAAAGGATTAAAAAAAAATTCAAGTCATTTAGGGAATGGGTGGTTGCAGTCTTTCTGCTTAATGAGGTGGTAGGTTAAGAACGAGGTGCTACAGGGATCTGTGGGAGCTTCCTCAAAATGGTTTTATTGGGACTAGGGGAATTGCAGGTGCCAGCTAGTCACAGTATGGCTTCCTTCTCAAGCACCTGGAGTCAGCAGGAAATGGAAAGGCAACTCCACGTGGTGTCTCTAGCATGGTGCGACATCCCTGGACAGTGTTCGAGAAATCGGGTGGAAGCTGTGCAACTACTGACCCGAGTTAAACTAGTTAAACGGACAATTCACAGCCATTTATATAACTGTCTTTGTCTTTGTCCGAACATCAGCGAATGCTTTGAATTGGGTACAGTCTAGCAGGCAAATGGATGAGTCTGATGGGCACCACTCCATGTATAACACGTAGATGTGCTCAAATTCAGTGTATTTGCATGCCACATTTTTGCAAAGCAAACAGCTGGGACCACTAACACACGTGCACGTACTCCTTGAGCAGAGCACGACCATGTCCGTGTACAGCTTGACACCCAGGGAGTACAACAGAAATCTGAAGGGAGACCACAGAGCCAGCAAAATCCGACTTTTATTTCTTAAATACTGTGAGGGAAGGGAATGGTCCCCTGGTGAAGAGAGCTAGGGGTCCTCAGCAAATGCCCGGTGGGTATTAGGGAAGCGCTGGGGGCTGTAGTTGGGGTCTTCCTGCAGTCGTCTCTGTATGTCAGACCGGAGCTAGGGAGAGCGAGGACAGACAGGTTGGAGCAATGGTAAGACCAGCAAGAGGCCGTCCCCTCTTGAGCTAGAGCTTCCCCACCAGCCAGGCTGTCAAGCCCCAATCCAGGTGGGAGCCTTCCCAAATGCTGAGGACAGACAGGTTGGAGCAATGGTAAGACCAGCAAGAGGCCGTCCCCTCGTGAGCTAGAGCTTCCCCACCAGCCAGGCTGTCAAGCCCCAGTCCAGGTGGGAGCCTTCCCAAATGCCGAAAGGCATTCCTCTCTAAATGGATCCAGGGAGAGGGAGGGGTCCTGGCCCAACCCCTCCCATAGACCATCCCTGCTCTGCTGTGAGGCGGGGCACCTGCTGCCTGTAGCTCTCCTGGACCTCTGGTGCCTCCAGGTCTCGGCTCAGGCTCTCTGGGCTTGTCAGGGGCCGAGCTCCGGCTGCCTTAGCTGCCCGGCTCACAGCCTCTGAGAGGAGCAGCTGGGGGCCCTCACCCTGCATCGTCTGGGAGATGGGTTGAGAGGGGAAAAGGGCATCAGTGTCAGAGCCAGTGCCACCACCCAGTTCAAGTTCACCCTATAGCATCCTAACTAGTCTATGCTGCCACAGAGGTGAACCATCCACATGTGGTTTTGACAAGCCAAAATGCCTAACAGTTGGTTTGAAATGATGGTTGATGTGCACAAATACGGTCAAGCCACTGAGATTCGGAGCTAGCTACTCTTCAAGACAACTGCCACCTTACAAAACGGACCCTAGGTACTTGGGAGACTAGACAGCTGAGGGACTGAGGACTGGTAGCAAACAATAAAGTTCACACGCTGAAGCACCAATCACGATCAAGTCTGACTCCCAGACAGACCCCATCAGAGGAGAGACTAAATCAGCAAGTGTCTCGGCTCCAGCTTGATTCTAAGCACGGCAAGGGAACTGGACAAAGACCCTCAGAGAAGAGACAGACCAACCTTGCGTCTCTTGGCAGGCATACCACTGAGGTAGGCATCACTCAAGGGCGGCTGAGGCTTCACCTTCCGCTGGCTCTGAATGTCCTGCTGGATGATAGGGACCCATTCCTGGGAAGAAAAGAATCAGAAAGTAATTCCTACAACTTGCACCTACCTTAACTTACGGGCTTGCCTCCTGCCACTTACTGGGGGGACTGTAGCTGCCCACGGTTCTGTATCGGCTGAAGTTCCATCCTGTTCATCTCTCGAGCCCCCCTCAGGAGCAGGGGGTGGACCTCGGGACATGGCCTCTTCTGCTGTTGTTCCAGGGGCTGGGGAAGCATTCTCCCGCTGAAGGTCAGATAGCAGGAAGATCCAGACTTCAAAATTTTAGCCTCCAAACCCTTGTTCTTCCAGCCAGACCCCTGGTCCAACGTAACTGGGCCTCTCAATCTCGCCCTGGTACCTGAGGCTCAGGGGAAGTTCTTTCTGCTCCTTGAACTTCCATTGGCTCTTCAGGAAGCGGCTGTTAAGATTGGATAAAGAAAACAAAAGGCTGGGAGGTGATCATCTCAGACCTTTCCAGTTTCTGCAAATTCCCTGACCCCAGAGCCCATCAGGTCCCTTACCTGGGGAGGATCACCAACCCTGCGAACATATCTGAGAATGGCATCAGGGCCCACAGGCATGTGCTCCAAAACCACCTGAAGCCTCAGTCCCATCATGGTTGTCAGCCAGCTGACCAAGGATGGATTCACCCCACGAGACATACGACGCTGAGGGTTAGAAAGTAGACTTAGACACACTACCTTCAACCAGCTTCTGCAACCTATCCCATCTGGGCATCAGGTGGACAGTGTGGAGAAGAAAAAGAAAAAAGAGGCTGAAGACTAGGGGTTAAGTGGGGCTTACAATTCGGCCGTTGATGACAGCAGCAAGCTCCATTTGCTGTCCCCCCAAGCAGTGCAGGTTTAGGGCCAAGCATTCAAAGAGGCCCTGGTTACACAACTCAAGCAACCGGGCTCCAAATCCACTGTCTGTAGACAAAGTAAAAGAAGGACCATGGCTCCAGTAGCCGGACACACTCGGCACACCCCTCTCCCCGGCAGGCCCCTGACTGACCTGTGCAGTGCAGCACGTGAGCAGCAATACTATTAAACTGCTCTTGGAGGAATTCTAAGTTTGTCCGGATGATGTCCACGCCTGGCTGAACCTGCACCAGAGACTGAGACACAAAGAGCTCCAAATCAGGACCCTGAGGGACTACGAGTGGAGGAGGAAGGAGGGAATACCAGCGGCCCTGCCCAGACCTAGTCTGGAAGAAAGCACAAAAGGCACTCACAAAACTCTCCCGCACGTACTCTTCTAGCCCGGTGATCAATGTGTGGGTTGCCATCTACAGGGGAACACGCAAGTCAGGGTGAGTCCCAAGCCTCTCTCCCCAAGAGACTTCCTCCTCTACCCGCTTAAAGTCCAGGACTTGGGCTGAAGGAGTTAGAGCTTCTACTGACAAGCAGAGTCAGGAATAAGGCGTGAAGGTGGGAAGGAGCTCAGGGGCCCTGGGCCTTCATTTACCCGGATGTTACCAGGTGTAGGCTCCTGGCCCCCAAGGTAGTGCTGGTGGAAGAAGGACCGTAACTGGGGCTGGAGTCGCTGCAGTGGCTGGAAATGCCCATGAAGCAGCATCACCACATCCACCATGGAAAAGTTCTGGCACAGCAGAGAGAGCAGGGCCCCAAAGAATCCTAGGGAGATGGGTAGAGGTTAGCAATTACCTTTACCTCCTAGCCACCCCCCAGGTCCACCAGCATCACCCATCATCCATCTTGCTAATGAAGAAGGCCAATTACTGTCCCCCGGCTGCTCTTTAGCGAGGCCAAGGGACCCCTTAATCTTGCTTACCAAGGGCTCCGTCAGCCCCGGGCTCGAAGATGTTGCTGGACCCGCTGAGGCGCTGGATGAAGGCAGCGATGCTCTCGCTGCTGCCAGCCCGAGCCCCCAGGGAGCCCAGGAGGGAGCTCAGCACGCCCTGCACCACTGAGGTGAAGAACTCTGGTGGCAGGCTCTCGGGACCTAGGCCTCCAGGACTCCCCGTACCACCAGAAGGGGACCCTGGTGAGGGGGTGGTCTGCTGCTCTGGGGCAGGGGGTGGAGGTGGGGGCGGTGGAGGCGGTGGAGGGGCCGTCTGTGATGCCTAGCAGAGAAGGAATGGAGAACAGAAGAGACGTCACAGAGTTAAGAACATAAACGGCATCAAGGGGGCACAGAACAGGCCTGGGAAGGAGGGGAGCGAGCAAGAGTCTGGCCTTGACCTCGTCAGCCAGAATACCCCGGAGGGACGGTCGGTCGACAGGGGAGTCGGACCACACAACTAAGGGGTCAAGTCTTCTAAGGGGCCAGACCAGACAGCAGTGGCACTCCCTCGTTTCGCTCTGCTCAAGGGGGTGCAAGATGGATGCATCTCCAGGCCCCTCCTCCTCCCACAGCACCAGGGGCTGCAGCTTGGCAGCTAGAGGTCGGTACAATGCAGCTCTGCTCTGGCTGGGCGGCAGAACAGGAGGTAAAAGGGCAAGCTGGCCACTCACCTGCAAGAAATCGGTCATGCCCTGGAGAAAAGCAGGCACGGCAGGCATCGCCACAGTGATGGTGGGAGAAGCCATGCCAGGCCCGCCAGCCCCTGGCCCTGCAGGCCCCAGCAGGTTTCCCAGGAGCTGAGAGAACTGAAGGTCGGCTGCAGAGGGCTGAGGAGGTGGAGGCTGAGCAGATCCCCCGGGGGCAGGGCCGGCGGTGGTGGCTGTGTTGGTTGTGGCAGCGCTAGCCGAAGCAGTGGCAGGGGCTGGAGATGGAGCCATTCCTGCGGTTCCTGGAGCTGTCAGGAACCAAAAAGAAAAAAAGGTAATATCTGAGAAAGTCCAGACAGCAGACAGCACAGCTGCCCCAGGCCGGTCTTTCCAGTGGGAAAACAAGAACCCAGACATTCTGCCAAGGAAGGAAACACCAGGAGTGTCATGGAGATCTTTACTCCCTCTGCACCCCCCTTAGGGGTCTCACTCAGTAGCCCAGACTAGCCTGGAAACTAGTATGTATACTAAGGTGGGCCTTGAACTTAAGAGATCCGCCTTAGTCCAAGGACTGGGATTACAGGTGTGCACCACCATGCCCAGTCTCTCAAGTCTGAGCTGGAAAAATAGGACTCACCCACAAGGACGGGCTGCATAAGAAGTTGACCCACAAGGCCGCTCACCATCTGGGCCAATGAAGCATTTGTACCCAGCCCAGCACCCTGCTGGGAGAAAGCAGGTTCAGTCCTCTCCACCCTATAACCTTCCTAAGGTCGTTCCCCACTGGTACTTCTCCACCCTTGCTCACCAAAGCCCCAGAGACTTGGGGGCCTCCAGGATGAGAGGGTCGAGCCTGTGGAGGGGTGGGTCGGGCAATCACCACCCGAGTTGGAGCTGTAGGGAAGCCTGGCACTTGTTGTCCTATGGGTGGCAGAAGAGAGAGACCACAGAGCTGAGGGCCCAGTCCTTGCCCGCCAGCCAATAATACCCAGCACCATGAACTAGGCCCCACCTCCCAGACCTCCCCTTCCAGGTTATTACCTGCGGCCGCGGAGGCAACAGCTGCCACCATGGCCTGATGGGTGATCTGGTGGGCGACGGCGTGCATGAACTCAGGGGGCAGGGAGGGCAGCTGGATGAGGGTGGAGCCTGGGGGGTGGGTCTGATGTAACCTTGAACCTGGACCCCTTCAACCCACCCGTTCAGCCCTGTCCTACCCAGAGCCCAACCTGCCCCGACGTCCTCACTCTTACCCAGGGTCTGTCCATGACCAGGAGGTCCAAGGGAGCCAGTGGGGGCACTCGGGGCTGCACTGGGCTGGGTTCCCGAATCTGGGCAGGGAAGAGAACCAACGGATAACAGAGACAGACTAAGATCGGCAGGCAAGGCTTGCTGCACCCTCCCGAGATCAGACATTCTTCTGGCCATCTCCCTAGTCCAAAGGCCTGCCCCTCCCGCCATCTAGACACGGAGGTGGCGCTCCCCTCACATACACTCAAGGACAAAGCAGCTCCCTCTTTCCCTACACATGCCAACCTCCAGTGCTGGCCTCCCCCGTCCCACCTAGCTCCCACTGCTCTTTTCTGCCAGCAACTGACCTAGCTCACCTTGAATGTTCATGTGCATCATGACCACGGGTTCCACACTCTGGTGGGAAATCCGGATGACTCTCGGGTGGCTAGTGGCTGGTGGGGGAGCTGGTCCTGGTGGGGGAGCTCCTTCAGTTGAGGAGTCAACAGTGGTAGAAGATGGGGGCAGGGACGAGGCCTGGCCAGAACCTGGGGAAGGTGCCTCCGTATTGGGAGCCGGCGGGGGCCGAGTCCCATTGCCTGTCATGGTTACAGTGGTCCCCACATTGATCTGGAAGAGGTAAGATGGATGGACAAAAGTGAGAGAGATACAAGAATCTAACCCAGAGCACCCTGTAATCCACCTCTGAAGACCTGCAGACCCATACTGGCATGGGTTTCCAAAGCCCTCTTCATCTCTAACCATCAAGCATAACAGCCACTCTGGGTCACTCTACCATGCCCCTCTCCTCCATTCTCCCTCTAGCCAGGTTCCCCTAACCTACCTGGATGGGAATGGCGGCCTGCTGGAGCACCATCGGAGTTGTGTAGTGAGACATGGGCCGGACCACGTGCAGGTGCCGTGGGGGTGCACAGGCCAGATTGCATCGCAGATCAGACAGTGCCACAAAAGTGTTGCCCAGCAGCCGCAGACTCTCTCCAACCAAGTTGATCAACCTCTGGTCCTCCTCACGGCCTTCATGCTATGCCCAGGGCAAAACCAAAAAGGCAGGAAGTGTCAATCAGGCTGGAACCCATCTCACTGATGGAGACTATGCCACGTTCTCTGCCTCTAGAAGCTTTCCTGCACCAAATACAGCTTTCCAAGAAGACTTTCAAGTAAGTTCTATTTAACATATACAAGGAATTTCCTATTACACACAGCAAGGGCTAAGTGACCACCTACTAACCACTCTGGCTCTGCAAACATCTAAACAACTAAAGGCACAATACGAACAAGGACAGTGGGCACAGCAAAGACTACCAAAGACTGTCACCTTCCCTGTCAAGGAAGAAAGATCAGTCACGATCTAGAAGGCTTTCTGAGGTAACCGGACAGTAGTGGAGGGTCATCTGCACCTCAGCCTGCTGTTTGGAGTACTAGGAGGGGAGGCTGTCAAAAGGCTCACGTTGTTGTTGTAATCCGTGGTGGCAGCGGCGCCCAGGACCTCACAGTACCGCTGCAGAAAGGGCTGGAGACGGCGCTGAAGGCGCTGCAGTTCCTGGAGCACCTCGACGTGCTCTGCAGGGGAAGGGTGGCTGCGGATAATGTGAGGGCAATGAGCGCGCGGTCCCCAGAGGCTCACCCACGAGTCCCCAGGGATCCGGGATCCCATGCCCTCCTAGAACTAGCAGACGTGGTCTTCTTCACTCTCATCCAAGGAAGGATGGAGAGAAGAAAACAAACTGCTCCATCTTCCCCACCAAAAACTTCTAGCACAGTGCCAAGAAAGTAGCTCTGAAAACAGAGATGGGGTCGGCAGGAGCTCAGGGGAGCTGGTTTTGACCAGGCTCAGCGGCACCATCCAGACCACCTTGCCCCAGAGAGCAAGCAGTCCTCCTGTTCAGCTGCCAGGCTTGAACTCCTTTTCCTGAGAGCCCCTCCTGCCCCAGTGCTATACCCCCTCAAAGCCCCTCCACCCTCCGGCTGTCCTGGTCCTCTCATACACTCAGGACCACCCAAGCCCCCAACGGTTCCCTCCTTCTCTCACTTGGGTGCATTTGTCTCTGGGGCAGGTGCAGGGCCTGCTGCTGGGGCTGGGCCGGCAGGGGTGAGCTCTGGGCTCTGCGCTGGGGGGCGCGCCTCCATTTCTTCTGACTCCATGGGCTCCCGAGGAGGTGCTTCGCTTTCGACTGGCTCTGATGTTTGTAAGCGCAAGGCTACTGTCTCTGAGGCCACTGTCGGCGTCTGCAGGGGTTGCTGACTGGCCTGGGCTTGGGTCCCCCCTCGACACTGAAGGTGGGGGAAGAGTCAGAACACCAAAGGCAGAATCAGACTATTGCTGCCAAGGATTACACAGGCCACAGGGAGTCAGAGTGGAGACAGTGCTCCACTTAGGCTCCCTGAAAGCGAGGTCATGTGTCCCTATCAGCATGTGACTGGCAGAAACTGCAAGCACAGTAACTACCTGTGTCTGCAAATGAATTAGTAACATGTTTCCTAACGTCCAGGAGGAGTGCAAAAGGCCACAGGTCCCAGATGTAACACAAACCACAGGTGAGGACACCCACCCCCTGAACATTAAGAAACTAAAAATGTTAATCCCAGCACTCAGGAGGCTGTGTCAGCCTGAGCTACATGTTGAGTTCCAGGCCAGCCAGGGCTGCCCAATGAGACCCTGCCTCAATAAAATAAAAATGCTGGGCGAGGTGGCGTATGCCTTTAATCCCAGCACTTGGGAGGCAGAGGTGGATCTCTGTGAGTTCAAGGCCAGCCTGGTCTACATAGTGAGTTCCAGGACAGCTGGGGCTACAGGGAGACCTTGTCTCAAAAAGACCAAAAATAAATAAATAAAAATAAATATAGGGTCTGGAGAGATGGCTCAGTGGTTAAGAGCACTGACTGCTCTTGCAGAGGACCCCGGTTCGAATCCCAGCACCCACATGGCGGCTGTGAACCATCCTTAACTCTAGTTCCAGGGGAATCCGATGCCCTCGTCTGACCTCAGTGGTATTGCACGACATGGGTGCACTCATATACATGCAGGCGATACACTTGTACACATAAAATTTAAAAAAAGAAAAAAAAGAAAAAAAAGCCAGGCGTGGTGGTGCACACCTTTAATCCCAGCACTCAGGAGGCAGATCTCTGTGAGTCCAAGGCCAGCCTAGTCTACATAGTGAGTTCCAGGACAGCTGGGGCTACAGGGAGACTGTGTCTCAAAAAGACAAAAAAATAAAATAAATAAAAAATTAAAATTAAGTGTGGACTGTCACCAGGCATGGTGCCACATGTCTGTAATCACACCACGTGGGAGGCTGAAGTAGAAGGATCACTGCAAATTCAAGGGCATCCTGGGATACAGAGTGAATTCCAGAGGTCGGCCTGGGCTAGAGTAAAGAGCCTGGGTTAGATAATTTGGAAGAAAAAAGTGGGATCCTCTTTAACCAAATAGATACTACGGTGTTATCTCACAATTCTGAAACTAACTTTCCAGTCACCAGGCATCAAGAGGACTGGCAAGAGCAGCAAGGCCACACCACAAACGCTGGTTTTAAGAAAGAACCTGGTATGGTGCACAGCTTTTACTCCAGCACTAAGGAGGCAGAGCTCTGTGAGTTCAAGGCCAGCTTGTTCTACACAGCAAGCTCTAGGAGTGCATGTGAGAAACTGTCTTGAAATAAAAACAGTATTAAGATAACCTCACAAAGATACTTTCTCTGCCTAAAAGAATGCACAGAAGAAAACCTGACCAGGAGGGCAGATTCCTGCAGAGTCCAGGGAATGTGGCCAGGCATGCTCTTACTGCCTGGACCACGGGAAACCCTAGCCAGCCAAACTTGGCCACTCACCTCCATCCGGGACAGTAAGGTCTGTATATCTCTGATCATGTGCTGAGCCATCACCAACCGTACCCGGGGCTCACTCTACAATGTAAGAGGAATGATCAGGGCAGGTTTGAGATGAAGTCATGAGCCCCACCACATATGAAACCAGGTCCCAGGCATCTCCTCAGCCAGGTCTTTCCCCACCTCATGGCCTCCTTCTCCCAGATCCCCTTCCCTGACCCTCCCAGGCCCCTCAATACCTGAATTGGGGCCTGTTCCATGTTGATGTGGACATCCACAGCAGAGCCGTCACTCTGGGGAAAGGGTAAGGGAAGTTGCTCTGGGAGAAGCCACAGACTAAGGCCTCCACCCTGCCAATTCATTTGCTGGATCCCCTACACTCTTGTCCTCAAAAACTGAGGCCAGTATCAGACCAGAGGGTCCTCCACACCCAATCCAAACACTCAAACACTTTTATCTTCTGAGCTCCCTATTCTAGCCATAACCACAACTGCCCTTCACAACAAAACCCTCCCACATTTGAAACACAGGCTTACAGGAAGATTGAAGGTTCCAACCATGACATAGCTGTTGGCATTCCGGTCATGAACAGAAGCCCCAGGCCCCCGAGTACCAGGCAGGGGTGCCCCACCATGGGTAGCTGAGGCAGACCCTGTCCCAGAAGACGCTCCAGAAGGAAGCTGAGTCTGAGGGGGCGCCCGCTCTACCAGGTGGATAACCTTTCCCCCAACATCTGCAGAGAACAGAGATACACCAAAACAATGTATGAGTAGGTAAGCCCATGGCCTCTGGCTGCCAGCCTCAGCCTAAAGCAGCTCCCTACTCCTTACTGTATTCCTGGAGCTTCTTATCATCTTGCAGAACTCGCCCCTGGTAGATGAGCCGTTGTTTCTCAGAAGGGATGCTGACAGAAGCAGCAATATGTTCCTTAAACTCCTTCACATTCATCTGAAAGGAGGAAGCATCAGCACAGGAATCAGGAAACAGAAGAAAGAGTAACAGAAAAGGGACAACTGGCTTCAGGTGGTGAGGGGTCAGAACAGCAGGGACACTTAATGTCAACAGGGTGCAAAGCCCATGAACTAAGACAACATCAAACATAGAATAAAGTTCAGTGTATAGACCCAAGGGAAAAAGTAACATGGATGAGAAACAAGCAAGCCAACTGGGTTTCTTCTCCTCATTGCCTGGCTCTCAGGGGATCCAGGTGACGCCTTCCCATACACAAAAAGATACCAGTTCATCCCCTGAAATCTCAAAGACAGAACAATGGCAAAAGGCACAGGCTGGAGAGCTGGGGTGAGCAAAGAAGACTGCAAAGGACGAGAGCTCAACAGGCCTGGTTCACTGCTAGACTACTTCTGTGCAAGGTTCTAAGTTCAATCCCCAGCACTGTGCCTCCCCAAAGGAAAGTAAGATCACCTGTCCAAGACCATCCTAGTTCTAAGACCGGAAGCGAGACCCTATCTCAAAAAAACCCAAAAAACTGGGGCTGGAGAAATGGCTCAGCAGTTAAGAACACTGGCTGTTCTTGCAGAAGGCCCGAGTTCAAATCCCAGCATCCACATGGCAGCTAACAACTGTCCGTAACTCCAGTTCCAGGGGATCCAACAGCCTCTTCTGTCTTCGAGGGCATTGCACAACATGGGTGCACTTACCTACATTCAGGCAATACACTCATGCACATAAAAAATAAATAAATAAATAAAATATTCTAAAAAAAGCCCGGCGTGGTGGCGCACACCTTTAATCCCAGCACTTGGGAGGCAGAGGCAGGTGGACCTCTGTGAGTTCAAGGCCACCCTGGTCTACATAGTGAGTTCCAGAATGCTGGGGCTATAGGAAGACCCTGTCTCAAAAAGACCAAAAAAGAAAAAAAAAAAACAACAACTTTGCCATGTGTGGTGGCACCCATCTTTAATTCCCAGCATGCAGCACTTAGGAAGCAGGTGAATCTTTGTGAGATTGAGACCACCCTGGTCTACATAGTGAGTTTCAGGTCAGCTAAGACTAAGGGGCAACTGTCTCAAAAAAATCAAGAAAGAAAAGAAAAAAAAAAAAAAAAAAGCCAGGTGTGGTGCCAGGAGGATCAGGAGTTCCAGGATGATCTGAGCTGCCACCCACCCTGGTGCCTTTAATCCCAGCACTCCTAAGGCAGAGGCAGGCAATAAGCCTGTCTCAAAAAGACCAAAATAAATAAGTAAATAATAGTCTCTTTCCTAACTACAAAAATGACTCTTGGCAAGTGCCAGAATTAGGTTTTACATGTAGCTACTCACAAAAGCCTATGTGGTTTTTCAAGTACATATTTTAGAAAACTCTCAAGTGACCTGCCCATGACTTGTGTCTCCAAGAATTAGTGAAAACACAGTTATGTCCATATTGCAGGCAGCTCCCAAGATTCAAATTATGCCTCAAGTATCAGCAATTCTACTCAATGGTGTATTAAAACCCTACCGGCAGTATGGACTCAGGCTTCTAGGATCTATAAACATAGTACATAGGTGCGTGAGCAACTTGCTTACACAGATGTAAAATACAATACGCATAACTGTCTGAGGACTCTGTGTTATGTTCCCCTTCCCAAGGCTCGAGCCATGTCTGTCCCTTTGGGGTGGGGTCCGCCCATCATGATAGGTAGCCAGACTTCTCTGTATTCCCCTCCGCCAAGGTGAAGGCAAGCAGAACAAAACTCACCTCCCTCGACAGCCATCCTCAGAAACCTCCTCCCTCAACACAGAGCATCAGATGTTCCACCCAGTAATGAACAAAAGAATCAGTGACAAGAAAATCAGGCTGGTCTACGGAAGAGGAGGAAGCGCCAACTTAGGGTGTCCCCGCTACAGTGAATCGAGTCTCACCTGGGCCCCCACAATAAAAGTCCGAGTCTGAGAGTCCAGGGTCTTCACCAGTACCTCCAAGCTGTCCGGCTCCTCCATAGCGGTACTGGTACTATCGCTAGGCTCCATGGCAGACTGCTCTCTAGGGAAGAACAGGGGCGGGGAGGGCGGTTCGCCGTTGCCCAGAGCCTGAGACACCCGGAAGCCTCCCCGTCCCAAGTCTCCGCCCCAATACCTAACAAGCTTCCCGCACACAAGCACACACATCCATACCCAGCCCTCATCCCTCTTTTCTGATTCCGGGGCACTGGAAGAGAAACACAAAGGGCAGAAGATCGACGGCATAGGGAGCTTGAAGGACGAAAGGTGGGAGGGGCTCCACAATGTCAATCACAACAGGGAGGGCCAGTTGGGCTAGAAACCAGGGAAGCCGGCACGAGACCCACGGGAGACAGTGTCATCACTGGTCGCCGCAGCCCAGGAGCCCGAGATCGGGGGACCCTGAAACAACGGGCGGGGGAGGGGGCACGGAGGAGGGTCGCGCGGAGAGTGGCAGCGCGCACGCGCGCCCCGTTGCTCGAGCCCGCCTCCATCACCGCAGTCCCGAGCCCGCGGACACTCACGAGAGGCTAGACCGCCTCGCTGGCCGCCCCTTCCTTCCGCCTCCGCCTCCCGTCGGTGTTCCAGCAGCGAGGCGCGACCAACACGCGGCCCGACCCAGACTTAAACCCACACACACAAACACACACACACACACACACACACACACACACATTCACTGCCCACCGCCCTGCGGCTCCGCCCCCGACTTTCCCCACCTTACCGTCACTTCCGGTCTCCAACCTGGCTCGAAAGTTCACTTCCGTTTCCCCGATTGTATGGGGGGGAATCGCGAGACGGTACTTCCGGCTTCCCCCCCCACAAATTTACTTTTCTGGGGCACGATGAGAAAGTCCACAACCCCAAACAGTGAGTTCCTCGGGGGGGGCGAGACGGGCCGGGGCCGGCCTAGATGGGAGGGAGCCGACAAACCCGAGGTGCCGCCACCGCCGCCGCCGCCCGGGGAACCGCAGTGCGCCTGCGTGAAGCGCGCTACACATGCGCACACACTAGCACCTCCCTGTCCCCTATTCCGGCTGTGTCCCTGAGCGCCGAGCGCTCCACGACTGAGGTGGCTGATGTAAATGCCTGAAGAAAAAAAATGACCAGGTTTCCACCGCAGCTGCCTCGAGAGAGGCTGTGAACGCCCGTGTGGGCTTTAGGGGATCGTGTCCCGTCTCGCCACGCTGGTTCGACCGGCGGAGAAATCCAACCAGGCACAGCCCTGGACACCTAAAACCTCAGGTCCCCGGGTCCTCCTACGTCATCCCTGCGCCGAGGGTTGGCAGCGGTTCTCCATCGTCCGGCCCCGGGCGTGAAGCCGCCTGGTGTGCGACATGCAGACGGCAGGCGTCGTGTTGGGCATTGGCTGAATGTGGCTAAGAGATACGCCATGTTTTAGGACGACTAAACATGCCAATGCTTTCTCATAAGGGGGCGGGCGGGGGGGGCTCGGGTCAAGAAATAAAAGAGTCCAACTGGATTGAAGGACCAAGGGATTAAAAGGTCCAGCCTGGGCGTTGCAGTGGGCGGAGGGGTTACAGCCCCTGTACCTTCTTTCCCACCAACTCCAGGTCTTTGGGAATCCGTAGATTATACGTAGGCCATTGCTGAGTTTCAGCAAGCGTTGTTTACTGAGCACTTACTTTGTACCAGCCAGTATGCCTTTTGCAAAATGTCCCATTCAGCATCTGAGATGCATGTTAAAATCCACTTTTTAGCTTTTATCCCAGCACTCTGGAGGCAGAGACAGGCATATCTCTGAGTTCCAGTTAGTAAGACCCTGTCACCCACACACAAAAAAAATCCACTTCCTACTGAGTACACGTCACATAGAATTGACAAACCACGCCTACCCGATTACCGGATTCCAGATTGAACTTTTTACCACCCCTTACTGCATTTTATGTAAGTTTTTCACTTTAAGTCTTTTTAACATTTTTTCTGTGCATGTGCTGTGTTGTACGTGTGGAGATGAGAAAACAATTTTGGGGATTCCCCTCCGTCATGTGGGATCTGGGAATCCAACAGGTCGTCAAGGCTTCGAGGCCCCACATTTTAGTTTTTTACTATAAACTTTTCAAAGGCTTAAGGGGTAGCTCAGTGGTAGAACACCTGCCTCACATGCCCAAGGCCCTGGGTTTGATTTCATAGTTGTCTCTCTCTGTCTCTGTCTCACACACATACACACACATACCCCAAACATTACCACCAACGATATATTTAACTTATATCCAGATTTTTAGTACTGAAGAGGCCAGGCGTGGTGGTGCACACCTTTAATCCCAGCATTCGGGAGGCAGAAACATTTCTGTGAGTTCAAGGTCAGCCTGGTTTGCATAGTGAGTTCCAAAACAGCTGGGGCTTAGGGAGACCCTGTCTCAAAAAGGCCAAAAAAAAACAAAGACCCAAAAAACCAGATTTTTAGTATTGAGAGATCTCAGAGAAACATTTCTGTGAGTTCAAGGTCAGCCTGGTTTGCATAGTGAGTTCCAAGACAGCTGGGGCTTAGGGAGACCCTGTCTCAAAAAGGCCAAAAAAAACAAAGACCCAAAAAAACAGATTTTTAGTATTGAGAGATCTCAATTTTATGTGTATGAGTGTATTACCTGCATGTATATAAGTGCACCCATGTCATGCAATGCCTGAGGAGGTCCACAGAAGATACCAGACTCCCCCCAGAACTGGAGTTAGCCACCGTGTGTGCTAGGAATCGAACCCAGGTCTTCTGTAAGAGCAGTCAGTGCTCTTAACTGCTGAGCCATCTCTCCAAACCCTCAAAGTCATTTTTTTTTTTTTTTTGTCTTTTTGAGACAGGGTCTCCCTGTAGCCCCAGCTGTCCTGGAACTCACTATGTAGACCAGGCTGGCCTTGAACTCACAGAGATCCACCTGCCTCTGCCTCCCAAGTGCTAGGATTGAAGGCGAGCACCACCACGCCCAGCTAAGAACAGCCAGTGCTCTTAACTGCTGAGCCATCTCCCCAGCAGTATCATCTATCGTCTCTCCCTCTATCATCTATTACTACAGAAGTCTTAATAAACAAGTGAATGAACTCGTGTGTCAGTGAGCTTTTCCAAGGTGTGCACCTACAGGTTCCCCTACCATAATAACATAAGCTTCAAAGAAAAATCCATCATGTTCCAGCAACTTGTTCACACCTGTTCTAACACATACCAGTTGCAATGGGCTGTTTACACAGTTGTCTTTCCTTTTTCCAAAAAAATATGTCCCCAGGGATTAGTCAATTCCGGATAAACAACTGATACCCAAAAGTTTGCTAGGTGAATGACTGAAAGACCCTAATCTAGTCACTTCAGTGTTGCACACAACAGAACTCAGACATGGGTTAAAAGACTCCAGGTTTCTACCTGTGGGGCTCAGCTCTCCTAATTCTGCAAAGGCCCTGGATGTGCCAGGGTATATTGTGGGGTGGTTACATTCAGAAGAGGGGGAGGAAGGCCCCAATGCTGTAGGTAATCCAGGCGTAGGTGGGTTGGAAAACAAGGTTGAAGTTACTTATTAGCGGTGAAAGGGTCAAGGGTCAAGACAAGGGGCTAAAAGCAGAGTGGACTGAGTGGCCAGCGAAGAGCAGTGAAGGCGGCAGTCCCCTCACCTCGAGACCACCAGCTCCCTCCTGCTTGAGATGTTCCACCGAATTTGGGCAGCGTTGCTCTACCTCTATGGTTTTCTTCTCAACGCCATGGACCAGTGCCCTGAGCAGAGTCCACTAACAGCTCTGGGAATGGATAAAAAAGAGGTATGGCCTAAGAATGGGGAAAACCCACGGTAGAAGCTGGGGGCCTTCTGGTGTGTAGCTCAAGATGACCAGAAAGCATGCTGGAAAAGGAGGAAGAGGGTGTTTTGATGACAAAAGCAGAAAGAATACCAGTGCTGTGGTCATGAATGTGGAGACACGGCAGGACTGCAAGGTAGGGTGGTGATCCAGGTTACTTGGGGAAAGCAAAATGAAGTCCTTAACTAGATGGCAGCCAACACCTCTAGCCCTAAGTCTTGCTCTGCTGATGGAGAGGTTGGATGGATCCACCAGTGAACCCACTGACCCCCGTCCTGCGACACCCCCCCCCCGCCCCATTTGCTCCTTTGTCTCTCCAGACGCACCTTGGCCTGTGGTACTTTATCGCAGGAGCAGCCCCCACCAAGGAGGAGTTGGCCACTTTTGACTCTGTGGACAACATTGTCTTCAACATGGCTGCCGGCTCTGCCCCCAGACGGCTCCAGCTCCGCGCGGCCGTCCGCATGTGAGTGATGAGGCCGCAGTGGGTTTGCTCTCTGCCCAAACTGTGAACACCCACTCACCAAAAGCTGGGCTGGTAATGGGCATATCCACCACTCTTGGCCCGCTGAATTCAACAGCTCAAGGTGCCTTCTGGAGATACAATGGGCCCAACTGTCCCCTGGCAGCTTGAAACTTAAAGAGAGCTGGGCTGGGGTAAGGAATAAATGGAATCAAAGCTGGTACTGTGAGTGAAATGACAGTCCATCTGCTGCTTTTCCTGTCACCACCACCTCTGCAGGAAAAATGGGCTCTGTGTGCCCCGGAAATGGATCTACCACTTGACTGAAGAGAAAGGGAACACAGATCTCAGAACTGAAGGTTGGTTCCCAGCAGCCCTGACTTCTCCCAATCTCCCTGAGCTTATTGTTTTCCCCTTCAAAATCCAGGACTGATCTAGGACCTCATACATGCTAGTGAGGCGCTCCATCACTGAACTGCATCGCCAGCCCCTTTTCTGACTTTTCAGTTTTGAGATGGGGTTTCACTGTGTTGCCCCAACTGCTCTCAAACTCACTCTGTAGCTCAGGCAGGCCTTGAATGTGAGATCCTTCTGCCTTGGCCTCATGAGAAGCCGAGATTTTGTCCTGCACTACCAGGCCTGACTCAACTTGGTTTTCCATCCTGTCCTCACGCTCTTCATCCCGACAGGCCGCCCTGACATGAAAACAGACCTCTTCTCCAGCTCGTGCCCAGGTGGAATCATGCTGAAAGAGACAGGCCAGGGTTACCAACGCTTTCTCCTCTACAGTGAGTGGGGATACAGGGCAGGAAGTGCCCAAGGGAAACAGGAAGGCAAAAGGGGTCCCCTGACATTCTCCCAAAACAAGCTGGGTGTCTTCATGAGGTCCTTTGGGCATTGGGAGGGCAGTGCTGAGAAGCAGGAACTTTGACGTGGCCTGGCTGCACTCTGTCCTTCCAGATCGCTCACCACACCCTCCTGAGAAGTGTGTGGAGGAATTCCAGTCCCTGACCTCCTGCTTGGGCTTCAAAGCCTTCTTAGTAACTCCCAGGAGCCAAGGTGAGAGGTTAAAGTCTCCTGAAGAGGTGTGGGAGTCACCAGGTCTTCTGCGGGTACTAGAAAGAATCTCATGTGATGCCACAGAGGCGCTGGCCAAGGCAGACATTCTCAGAGATGCTACATTGACAGCTCTGACTCTCTTATGCTAGGATGCTACCAGGCAAAGGCTGAGAGCTGCAGCGTGATCCGTGAGAATGGGGGTGGGGGGGGCTCGTCTACTAATAGGTGTTTAGTCAGGAGAGGTAGCACACATAGCACTCAGGTGGCAGAAGCAGGAAGACCACCTGCAAGTTTGAGGCCAGCCTGGTCTACATAGTGAGTTTCAGGCCAGCCAGGGCTACATAATGAGATCCTGTCTCATAAAAAAAAGAAAGGACAAAGATAGCTTTCTGAGTCTTCAGAGGGTAAAGAGGGTGGAGAGTCAGACAGAAGGGAAAGGACCCCAGGCACCTTCCTGACACCTGGGGATGAAGGAGCACCCCCACCCTGTTACTAGCTTACTAGCAGCCTCCGCATTTCTCTCCCTGGACTTCCTTTCCATCCTCTTATTCTGTCCTTCCTCACATCACAGAGGCCTGTGAGCTGTCCAGCCACTGACCTGTAGCTTCATCCGTGCCCCAGACGAGGCGAAGCTGAGTTGTGAAGGTGAGACGCTAGACGCTCACCTCTCTTTAAGGATAATAAAGATGATTTTTCAATCCTCATCTCATGGGTATTTGTCTCCAGACATCAGTCATTTTCCCGTTTCCACACTCCGCCTACACCCTCTACCACCTACCCCCCAGCTCTTCGGCGTCAGGAAGGACACTGAGGGGCAGCACCTCTCACATTATAGTGGTATATTTAGGATTTAGTGTGACACAGTTATTGCTGAGTGAGCAAACCTCTAGCCTGAGTGAAGGTGACCCATCCCAGCACCCCTCTTCCCCCCACCCCCACCTTCCCCTCCCGTCAGGAGCTGCCAGCCCTTCGGAGCTGGTACTCTGGCCAATACTGCCCTGTACCACCCCTCTGCCTCCCGTGAGTACATGAGCACTGGATCTTCCCTGTAGCCCCTTCTACACTTTCCACCTCACAGCCTCAGTCCTCTATATGGTTCAGGTCCTAGGACCCAAGGGATACTTTGGGTCTCCCTGTTACCCTCTTAATGCAGTGATCTCTGCCCTGCATCTGGCTGTTCTACCCCCAGGAAACGGAAAGGTAGAAAAAGACCCTTTGATCTTCATTCTCCAATCATTAATTCTGTTTTTCTTTCAAAAAGTGGAGGTGAGGGGAGACTGGAGGTGGAAATAAAACCATAGGAAGAGCAATGTAGAAGCAAAAATGTAACAGGTGGTGACTCCAAGGTCAAGGCCTCGCTGTCCACTATTAGACACCCTAAGCAGACAGCACTGTCCCTCACTTGTATGAAGGGGTTCCTGTGCTTTCTCGAGTGTCTTCCCCATCCCTGAGGTCCCTGTGCTACAGTCTGGGTTTCCCCACTTTCCTCCTAAAGGCCACACTATCTTCACCCTCCGGCCCCATTCGGCCACACTCACAGCTCCTTTCCTGGACCTTCCCTCTGCCCCTCTGCTCCCCTTCTCGGCCTCTCACCCTCCAAATTAGTGGCCTCCTCAACTTCACTAGGTTCCCGGAGGCTGACAGCCAGCACCAGGGCCTGCAAGAGGCCAAAGAGGCAGGCAAAGTGCAGGGGGTGGGTGGTAAGGAGGCTCAGCACAGCATGAAGCCCATGCAGGGCGGCCAGGAAGCACAGCAGCCCATGTAGCCAGAGGCCCAGGGGTCCTCGAAGGCCCAATGCGTCCAAGATTGCTCGAAGAGGCCTCGAGCACAGCGCCAGCAGGGCAGAGGCCAGCAGCTCCAGTAGGTGCAGGGTCAGGTTGGTGGAGATCTGCAGGTCCTCCTCCGGGTCCCTCAGGTAATGTGGGGGAGCCCCTGGCTCCCCACGTAGCCAGCCCAGCAGCCTCTGACGCTTGCTAGGTTTCTCAATGGGGACTTCTGGCCCGTGGGTACCCAGTTCCCCTTTGAGGGACACTCCAGGGCTCTTGGTGCCCTCTGAGTCCACAGGATCCCATCCTGTTTTTGGAAGCGTTCCCCCAGTCTGTAGTCTCCTAGACTCTTGAATGCTAGAGACAGTCTTGTCCCGCTTGAAGGACTCCATTCTTCTGAACCCCAGGTGCTCCATTTGGGCCTCTCTGCTTGGCTCAGGGGCAGCCCCAGGGCTCCTCAGTGTCCCCGAGTCCTTGGTCTTGAGAGGCCCCAAGTCTCCCATTGTCTCTGGGGCACTGTCCCAGTCACTCTCTGAATTCTCAGGGGAGGTGTCCAGCCATCTGGATTCTGGGACAGGTGGGGCAGGCTTCGTCGGTTTCTTGCGGCCCCAAGGTCGAGGTAGCCAGCCACCAAGCCGTCGCAGGAACATGGCTGCGGTGTGTGACTAGCCCCCGCCAAATCTGAGACTGCTTCCTGACACTGCTCAGGACGCTCAAGGTCTCCTCGGATGCCAGAATCTGTTCGGGTTCAGAACAGGTATCTTTAGGGATGTCATCTTACTCTGAGTTCAGGAAGAGCTCCCCGGTTTCATGAAAGCTCATGGAGCCCCAACTTTGGCAAGTGGCCTGCTTCCTTGTCAGTTTAACGAAGGGAGGCACATCCAAATCCATTCACCACCCACCCCCTCCCACACACAGGCTAGGGTCACCCCCACAGTGCCGTTTCTGTTCCTTCCCAGCAATCAGCACCCCAAGTTTCACTCACCAGGGCCACACCCCAGGGTACCCCGGAAAGGGGGGCAGACGCTGCTCCATCGAGGAAGGCCGGCAGGCGGGTGGCCCGGGGTCCTAGGGCCTGAATTTGGGGATTCTTAACCTGCTGCCCAAGGAGCTCAAAGAACAGGAAGTCCCGGTTGAGACGGGGGCGGGGTGGAAGTGTCCGGCGAACTCGGGCCGGTGGCATCCATCCCTGAACTTGGTCCCACGGTCCCGCGAGGGGCCTCCACAAGGTCAGCACGCAGACGTCCTCGGGGATGCCAGACTCGGGGCGCAGGGCGGCCTCCCGGGGGACCGGCGTCTGGGTGCTGTGCACAGTGGCAGCTCCAGGGCCCAGCGTCGGGGGCCGAGGCCTCACCGAGCGGCAGCGGAGCCCGGAAGCAGCTGCACCGGGTCGGAGAGGGATGGGGAGGGGCCGGAGGGGGCGGGGCCCGCGGCTCGCGGGGCGGACCCTGTAGAGCGGCCTCGCCCGCACCCCACCCTCCCTCGCCGAGCGTGGAGCGGGACGCCGGGGGCTGGAACTGACCGGCCTGGTGCTTCGGGAGGCTCTCCAGCCCACTGCCTCCTTTTCTATTTAAAAAAATATTTTATTTTATTGTGTACGCGTGTATTGCCTGCATGTGTGTACGTGCACCCATGTCGTGCAGTGCCCACGGAGGACAGAAGAGGCCGTCGGATCCCCTAGGACTGGAGTTATGGACAGTTGTTAGCCTCCATGTGGGTGCCGGGATCGAACCCGGGTTCTCTGCAAGAGCAGCCAGTGCTCTTAACTGCTGAGCCATCTCTCCAGGCCCCTCTTTTTCTATTTTTAAGGCAGATTCTCACTATATATGCAACCTGGACACATGTAGCCCAGGCTGGCCTTGGGCTCTCCTCTTGCCTCAGCCTCCCTAGGGGCCAGGCTGCCCTGGAGTTCCGGTGCACATTCCCCACCAGCCTCCATTCCTCCACGGCTTCGTGTTCTGATCAATCAGAAGGCAACAGGAGCCCCCCCCCCACCCATTCGAGCACCAGGTGGGTGAGGTGGGCACCAGGTAGTGTGGGAGAGACAGCCTGGAGTTCCGGTGCACATTCCCCACCAGCCTCCATTCCTCCACGGCTTCGGCTTCGTGTTCTGATCAATCAGAAGGCAACAGGAGCCCCCCCCCCATTCGAGCACCAGGTGGGTGGGGTGGGCACCAGGTAGTGTGGGAGGGACAATGGAGACCAGCCGGCCTCCGGGCAGGAAGCCCTGGTTTACTACCAGGTGTGGACCCTAGGTTCCACCCCCCAGCACAGTAATGTAAAGCTTCTATCTGGGAGGTCAGAGTTCGCAGACACTAGTGGATAACCCTAGGGCACCCTAGCCACTACCTGCAGCAAGACAGGGCTTTCAGGCCTCCCCCTCCCGCTACAAACTCCGTGGAGGTTGGGGGTGTCTTTTGTGTTCTTAGCACATAGTGAACTTGTGTCTGTGACACAAGCGGAATTGGTGGACCAGCCAGGAGGCCCAATGGGAGATGAATCTTGCACAAAGCTGAGCCATTCCCAATTCACAGGGTTTTGAAAAACAGGCAGAATATATGCAGTGGGGCTGGGACCAGCAGGAGGGCCTCTTATGTGGGACTTGCATGTAGCTTACTTCCTACCGAAACACTCAACACGCCACGAGAGGAGGCTGGTTTATTTCTCAACTCCCAGCTCTTCTCTCCAAAAGCAGAGCCCAGTGACCCAGACCCAGGGCCTGGCACCTCCCAGGAAGCAGAGGTGACCAAGTCAGAGGTCCAAGTCCAGACTTGAGCAGCGGACCAGGGTCAGACTTTGCCAGTTAGAGTTCAAGGTTCATGTAGGTCCTCAGAGCTCGCTCCCAGGCTCTGTCCTTCTCTCTCCTGCTCTCCCTCTGGGGGATCATGGCGGCCCCTTGAGGGACTCTCTCTTTCCCAGACACAGC